GTCTCCACCCTACCCACGAAAAAACTGGGCAGGCGATGAAAGGGAATCGGTGACCGATAATTTTGCTACCCTTCTTTGAAGAATTCCTTCTTTGCCAATCCAATGCCCCTGTTCGTCACCCGCCTTGTTTGCTCCTAAGTACGGTGAAGAATCACACGACGTCACTCGCCCTCTCCCCCCTTCCCCTAACCCCCATTGCTAAATATGGGCCCCCGCGGGGGCAACGCACGTCCTGGAGCTGATTAGAAGAAATTACAGTAGGGTGTGTCCTTCAAAAGCCTTGTAGCCGTCGGACCTCCTACAGGGTTCCGGGTCCGTGAATAGATTTGGGCCATACGGAAAGGATTCATTGGGCCGCGAAGCATACCCCTGCTTTGCCATCACCAAGACCACAGGCGTTGATTGAGGACTGCTCATCGCGATGAACAGTGACCGAAGACCCACGAGCGAGGGAGAGAGAGATGGCAAGAATGCGTTGGAACCACTAAAGGCTGAAGAGAACTGGGGTTGTTGGGCTGCACGGTATTAGCGTTGACAACTGGCAATACTCCTTGCGAGTGAGGATGGAGAGAATAGTAACAAACAAGAAATCGGTTTTCTTTCCTTCTTTCTCTCCTTTTTTTTTTCTTACTGTGTGGTCTTTGCTGTCTTTTTTTTTCCCTTCTTTTCTTTTCTTTTCTTTTATTTTCCTGTCTTTGCCGGACGGTGATTTCTTGAGGGAGGGCGACGGTATTGCTCTGCTAGAAACAGGTGCTTCGGGTTCTGTTTCTGTGCAGCAGCCCCAGGGAGAGGGAGAGAGTCGATAGGTCGGTGAGTACTCTTTTCGACGGGTTCTGTCAACCTGCACCGGCAACACTGAACCACGTTCAATACTATTAGCCGGTCGAGGGAACGCGGACAGCCACTACGGGCAAGGCCTTGACTTCACCTCTCTAGGCACCAGCCGTCCAACCTTGGCTCAGAGCTCTACTCGCGTTGGGGTGGAGATGGGTGATGGTGAAAGGCTGATGACAGGAGAGAAAGCCACCGGCACTGGAGAGTGTGTGAGGTGATGTAAGAGCCTACGCGTTCGATGCTTGTGGAGAACAGTTCGGTGGGCGAGTTAGCCATAGACAGGTGTGACTCCCAGAGCGCTCGCCCTTAACTGTACTGTTTGCGTTTTTCTGTAATTGAGGAAGTTGCTCTGACGTCTCTGTCAAAGCTCACCCAAGTTGGAAGGGACAAGGGACGGAGCAAGGACGGGGTTGAGAATTCAGTTAGACAGAGTAGAATATGTGTTCAATTTTCGCTCTAAGTCACTTGTACTTGTGATAAGTATAGTAGACTTGATAAGATAAATATCCTTAAGACTAGTAAGATAAATCCAAGCTTGCGTGCTCTATTAACATGAAGGAATTTTTTTTTTTTTAATTAACTAATATATTCTTTTTTAGGGTATAAGAACTCGCATGCAGCAACTAAGCTATGGTGTAAAGAAAACCCTTTCATATCAAAACAATAACATAAGAAATTACCAAAAACTATCCCATCTGACCGAAACACTCAAATCCTGGGAACAGGTAACTGCTCAACATGCACACAAACCAAATGCGTGACTAACTAAGTAGGAAAAATATAAAAACCCAAGCCAGCGGCCATACTAACTCAAATATTTAAGGCTCTGTTTGGCGGGAACCGAACCTTTTGAGACTGTTCAATTTTCTCATACAAAACGACCGTTATTGAAAATAATTTATTTGTAGCTAACTACACGACTCCACCTTAGAGGTATATGCGCCGTACGGCATTACGTCCAAGAGGTAAGCCAACTCCAATACCGGCAGACCACAGTACATCTGGGACTGTACCACCCGCACAACCCATAGCAAGACTACATCATTGCTAGACTCGAACCGTCTAGCCGACAGGTAATCCCGAGCCGAAGCCCAGTACAGGGGGTCATGGCCATCTCCGGCCAACCACAAAATCTTTATAAAAATCAAAACCAGCTCTACTGGCCTCGCAACCACTCCACCAACACATACCAGCCCCAGCTAAGCCAGGCGCACCACACTGCTCCTAATCCACCGACTCTACCGCCTGCCAACCGGCAGCCCAAAAGCCATAATCCGGCAGCTCAAAGTAGCAGCCCTCTACCAGACACGTACTCCCATTGTCCCAACCCACCAGGAGGGGCCAAACCTGCCCGCACATATGGCGGGACAGCTTATTCCTCCTCACCTCCTGCCCGCATGGGCACAAGACCCTTATGCCCTCCTTCTGGTTCCACCCCCCACTCCGAGGACACAAATGCGGGACCGCAGGTCCGAACACCTCTGGAAACTTCGTGAAACGCGGGCAGCAAGACTCCCCCCAATCGACACACACGGACTTGTGGCCCTTCCCCACCTGGCCAGACCCGAGTAGTCCTGTGGGTTTGCCCTCCCCCGACCTTTTCATCCGCCTCCCAAGAAGGCACGGCCGTTGTCTGGGGGACAGGATAGCGACCGCAGTGGCCACACTCTCCACCCCTGAGCTCTCTTCGACCAAGGGAGCAGCCTCCGAGGCATCCTCCGACACCCGACGGCGCTTCGACCTCAGTCTTCTTCCAGAAGTAGTCCGGCGGCTATCGGCTGGTGTACTGGACACCATAAACTCGTCACAAGGGAGGGGCAACGATCCCACGAACAGGGTAAGTGCACGTGACCCAACCGGGTCAGCCACCTCCCCAACCTCAGAAGCCATGGGCTCAGCCACAACGGGCTCAGGCACCTGCTCCGCCGAAACAGAGGACGCCACCGAAGGCAACCGAACACACCTCCCCAGCCACCCCCTCCTCAAATGGAGATGGCAAAAAATCATCGTCACCCCTGGAAAAAATTGACGAGGGGGAGGAACCCGCAGCCTGACAAGCAGCCAGGGAAGCGAGTAAATTCTCACTCTCAACCTTTGCCAAATGTAGGCCGCGCGAGAGGACGGAAACATGGTGTCGGAGACGAGAAACCTCCTTCCGTAGAGAGGAGGCCTTGTCAACCGACTTGTAACCGGAACTGGAGTTCAGTCCGTTCGGTTCAAGGATTTGTTTTATGTTTTGTTTTACTTGTGGTTTCGAGTATCCTCTGATACTCAGTTTGTTTTATTTGTGGTTTCGAGTATCTTTTGATACTTAGTTTGTTTTACTTGTGGTTTCGAGTATCCTCTGATACTCAGTTTGTTTTATTTGTAGTTTGGAGTATTTTTTGATACTTAGTTTGTTTTACTTGTGGTTTCGAGTATCCTCTGATACTCAGTTTGTTTTACTTGTGGTTTCGAGTATCCTTTGATACTCAGTGTGTTTTATGGTTTGTTTATGGATGATTTGGAAATCCACCCATGCAGGACATGGACGAAGCTTGTATTTAAAGACCGCTGAATCCCTTAGAGGAACAGCAGACTTCGGCGGACAGAGTATTTCTAATATACTTGGTTGAACGGTTACCTCTTCAAGTCCCTATTCTTTATATCTTTCCCTTGGAGCCTCCCTTAGCGCAGTGCGCCCATAGGTTGTAGACCAACTTGTGCGCCACGCCTATTGTACCTGGAAGCGTGACTCGCACCCCCGTGCGAACACGTTACACGACTCAGCAAAGGCGGACAAGACCTTGACGGCCTTGCCACCCGACAAAGAGGAACCTCCGGGCGCCATCGAGCTCAACCGAAAGAAGGAGCGAAGGGGAATAGGGGGAGCCTCGAAAAATAAATGGAAGGGATAAACTCCTTCCACAAATGTAAAATTAAAAACGAGGAAAAAGCCCTCGAGTTAAAGACTTGAAGCTATCGTGAGATAGGAATCAAGGACGTGATTGGCCCAAATGACTTAACTGACCGTTATGAAACGGAAGGGTAAGAAAATTTGTATGGGGAACGGAATGGAACGGACGCGAACGGTCGTATCCAAACAGACCCTAATATATATATATAAAAGTTCCCCCTCGTTAACCAGACACGCCCTATCATACCCAAACGCCGCACGCACTTCACTTCACCTTACCCACCCACCACGCCACAACGCGAACCCGACCGGCCGACCGAACCCATCCGATAACCCCGAAGTTTAAAAAACCCTCCGAGACAGAAAAAAACAAAAAGAAATCAAGGGAACACGAGGTCACGCAAGACCCCAGAGAAAAAAAAAAGAAAAAAATTCGTGGCGAAGTTTATGATATGGTACCATTACAGTTGAAGCGTCAAAGACGTCTTCCCTTCTTTTCTCCCTCGATAAGTGTGATGATAGCTCAAGTAGATGACAGAGAACTTTGGTCTCTCCCTGTTCCCACACGTTTACTTTACCAGGCCACTCCCGAGAGAACTTTGGCGGCTTTTCGTGAAGCTGGGGTAAAGTCACTGGTGGGTGGGCGAAGAGTGCCTGCTTGGGCATTGCTTCGTTGCTTCCGCGATGTATATAAATTTGTGTGAGATGTACAGTACAGCACCTACGCAATGGGGTGAAATGAAACAAGAATAGAAACCCAATCAGTAGTCTCTCCACTTTCTCCCCTCCTCACCCCGTTCTAGAGCACATCCCAGTTCCAAATACTACAGGTATATCCCGTCAATATCACTAATAAAACTAAACCGCGGCCAGCATTCTCCCTAATACTCTGCGCAACATACCACCCGAGAATATCCATTCCGGGACTAACAGTTCGCAACCCACCTGCCACCGGGATACCATCATACTGCACAAGCCCCAGTGACCGCTACCTACACCCATACCCGAGTGCAGCGCCACCGTCATGCGCACGAACGCCCCCCCGCTTCCAATAGTGCCGCTAGAATCCTCACCGTTAAACATACAGTAGGATCTCCACTCTATCGGGAAAGTAGCTACATTGTTCTATTTCACCTACATCGCCTGTACGACTAGCCCAGTAGATACTCATGAAAATATACACGTCACAACCAGTCACTCATTGGCTCTCAATCCCCCATAATAAACCAACCCAAAATCCCCACAACTTACCAAAAGACACAAATAGAGCCACCATAAGTGATTTTTCAATTTTATAAATGGTGTCGAACCAGTCCCACTATAAAATAAGACGAAGCGAAACAAAGCGAAACAAATGAAATGAGAGCCATAGCTAACCAAGTTAGAGAAGGCAGTAATATCCTAAGTTAATCACCTGCATATCGGAGGAAAGGAAAAATCAAAAATCAAGGGAAAGAGGAGTGAATCGAAAATGAAATGAGAGCCAAATCCCTCTTTCCCCAGACCAATAATTGATTTCCCTTGCACATTTTTCATTTACACGCCATCTGGGAGGAAAGAACTTGAGAGCAAGGGAAAGCGAGACACCAAAGAAAACCAACAAAAGCATAGACACCCCGGCCCACCGTGCTCCAGGTAAATAATCCCCGTAAAAGTATGTATGTCTGTGTGTGTGAGTATTTGTTTCGGGAGGGTGGAACGGTGACAGGTCGAATAAGAGACAAAAAGGACAAAAATACACCCGACCGATACCGACTGGCTAACCCTACCCCCGATCACTGCGAGTAAGGAAGATACAGCTTGCAAACATGAACGATGGAAAAGGAAAGACAGGAGAGCCGAGGGGCAAAATCCCCGTAACGTGATGTAAGAGGCCGTGTTCAAAGACTTCTCGTGACAGTAAACAGAAAACCAAAACAGAAAAAAAAAGCAATTGGGCCGCCCTGAGTTTGAAGAGGAACAGATGTGACAAAAGAAAATCATTACCGCCTTAAGAATAGAGAAAGAGATCACGAGTGAAAAGAGCCTTCGGGATACTACAACGTCTAAAATTAGGGGGCGCTAGCAACCAACGCTGCAAACACACCGACACCCCCGACAATTGCTCCAGCAAGGGCGGTAGCGGCGAGCTTTGCAAACTGCTTCTTTGGCCTCGCAGTTCTGGCCCGTTTCCTTGGACGCTCCTCTTCCTCTTCCCCATCTTGAACAACCTCCTCCTCGTTGTCAGATGTTCCATTGGGTGTTGGCAAAGCGGGCTCCAAAGTGATTGTCTCCATTTCCTCCTCGAGGGCTTGAACATTCCTTCCGGGGAAGAGCATGGCCAACTCTTGGGTGGAAACATTGTTTATACTTTCCATTTTTTCCTCTTCTTCAACATCGTCATCCGTCTCATCCATGTTTTCAGGGCCGCTGTGAGCAACTTCCTCCTCCTCTTGAGATTTCTCTTCGGGGGTGATATCAGATAGCTGCGAGTGCTTGCGCTTGGATCCAGTTGGTGGAGAAGAGGGGTTGAGGAGATCGGCCACGGACTTATCCTTCTTAGCCTCGGTAGGGGGGCTGATTAGGCCATTTGTAGATGGGCCAGGGGGTGGGGGTGATGCTATCCCATAAAACGCGTCAACCTGGTATCTATATCGGCTAAATTGTTGAGGGGGCGGAGGATAGAAAGTACCAGTTGCTACCATCAAGGGCCCAGGAGGCGTAAGAGGGCCATTGTTTTCGTGGACAAGATTGCTAATAGAGAAGCCGCGTGATTTACTAAAGTCACCTCTGCTTGCCTCACAGACACTAGTTCGCCCGGCCGGTGCGACATTGGGGTGGTAAACAGGGTAACGCTCATAGCACGTGTCGAAGGCCTTACGTTGGCCGAACCAAGCGCAGGTGGGATGACGAGGATCGGTGTCACCCTCCTCTTCCTCCATCACATCATCCCCCTCATCCTCATCCTCATCCTCATATTCTACTATCCCGTCAGCCATCTCTTGTGAAAGGATATCGTCAGATGTATTTCCATCTTCCTCCTCATCCTCTTCCTCGTCTTCTTCGTCATATTCCCCATCTTCGTCGTTGCAATACTCATCATCCCAGACCATGTCACTTGCTTCGCCGATTGAGAGCTCAGTTTCATCACCCAACCACCATGCGCTCTTATCAAGTCCCCGAAACTTTTCCCCTTCAGCCACAGCATCTTCGAGCAGTTTCTTGGCTTGAGGAGTGACAGTTGGCGGCGGTGGAGATGGCGCGGGTGGCTTATCACTTTTGGGTCCTGGTGCTTGAGTCGAATCTTGCTGCCGATCTTCCCAGACCTTAGGGAACAATCCAGTGGGCTCTTTAGGCCCCTCAGCTGTCTTGAAGGTCTGAACCCAGGGCAAAGAAGTCGGGGGTAGCGGCTGCGATACACCAGGCGATTTGGAGTTCCCACGAACCGGGCTCAAGTAAGATAACACATCATTAGGCCTATTAGCTAAATTCGCAAGGTTTATCTGTCTAGCAGTAAAATACTCCTTCTTTTGTTCCATGGAACTGTTGCCATATCGCTTCTGGAAGGTATCAGTTGGCACTTGTGGATCTTCCGGGAACCAATGAATATGAGATGCACCAGACGGCGTCTTCTTGGCCACCGCCTCGGTTGGTAGCATAGTGAGGGGCGGAAGAGTGGGAGGCTCTGAAATAGCTGCCGATGTGACTGCACTTCCACTGGGCTTGTTAGAAGAATCACTCCCGTTTTGTGCAGCAACTGCCGCATTCGCCAGCTCCTCAAATGGCGCAAAGTTCGTCTTAGATTGGGAAATACCGCCCAAAGGTGCGGTCACAACCTGAGGTTTTGAGCTCAAAATCTCTGGAGGAGACATTGGCGTAGGAGCATTCGGTGAATAGAGATTATCAGCCACCATAGTGATATCCGTAGTATCGTTTGTCGTGGAAGCCCTCCCTGCATACTCCCCAACATCACTCTCATGATGATCCCCATCTTCCTCATCTTGCTCTTCCTCCTCTAACTCCTCCTCGTCCTCCTCGTCCTCCTCCTCCTCATTCTCATCAGACTCATCAGACGATACATAATTGAACCGACGACTACGGACATGAGCACGACAGCTAGCATCCTCATCGTCCGACTCGTCCATGTCCGAATTCTCAATGTCCGAATTCTCATTATGCTCCTGCGCTCTGGAGGTGTGCTGGTAACGCTTGAAGGTTTCTTCAGGTATAATTTCAAGATCACTTTCCTCGTCATCGATCACAAGGCATTCAGGGGCGGGCTTATTCGAACCCTTGGATTCGTTCATAACGTTCTTACTCTTATCATTCCGAGAGACTGAGGATTCCTGAGCCTGGTTCATCAGACTCCCGATGGTGACTCCGGGCCTAGCAGGTGCATCGCAAATTTCAATATCCACCAGTTCAGCATTGACCTCAACCACATCTCTCTCCCCCGAGCCAGTCATCTCATCAACTTTCCTCTTCAATTGCAACACACGGTCCTTCGATTGAGTCAATGATTCGACCGACATATCCTTTGTGCTGCGTTCATGACTAATGGGAAGCTCATCATCGGGCATCATGTGTGACGTTGATGCCCCAACACAGGTTGCTTGTCCCGGTTTCGGGACAGCAGAGTTAGCGCCAGAAATAGAAACCACAGACCCCGAAGCTTTCTCTTCTCCCAGACGAGGAAACTTGGGGTACTTGGGGTCTAATTCGTCATCCTCCTCCCCATCTCCTTCTTCTCCGGAAACTTCGTAGTCCGATATCAGAAGATCCTCACATATGCCATAACCCCCTCGACTCTTGGGCGTTTCAGATGCCGGTTCAGATTCGGCAACAGGTTTCGAGAGGCTGCAAGGACAAGACACGTGGTATCAGTAAACCCGAGCGTAGAAAAAAAAAAGAAAGAAAGACAGCGAACAACCGCAGAGAGGAAAAAAAAAAACTCACGGTATCTCTTCCCACTCAACACCGCACCGGAATGTTTTCGGAGGGAAAATTTCGTCACCTCTAGTGACCTCTGAACCAAATGTAACCTCTGTCCCATCCGTCAACTCCGCGGTTTCATCCCCAGCAAGCTGGAGGCCGTTAACGTAGGTGCCGTGCATCGATTTCATATCCTTAATAACTATCTACACAGACGGTCAAACAGTTGTTAGCACAGAGGGAAAAAGTGGGGCGAGGAAAGAATTTAAAAAGGATGAGATTTGTAGTGGTGGTAATCAGGACGCAATGGGCAACGAAATGGGGAAATGTGAGGAGCTAATAAAGAAGCGTTCAGAAGCGGGGAGATAATATGAGCAACAAGAACCGAAAGCCAGACAATATGTAGGCAAGCGCGAGCAAGATAAGGAAAGCCAAGAAAACCCCACCACCTAAAATGCAGTTCATATGAAAATTCCGATCCCCCAAAATAACCATTCAAAACACTCGCAGAAGGGGGAGTAAGGATAAAAGTAACCCAGTAATCTCGGCTTACCTTTCGGGACGGTACGAGGAGCCGAACCTCCGCATGCGAGCGACTCATAACGGCCGACTCGAAGAAACCATTATTCCTAGCGGCAAACAATCCCTTAGATTTGTTTCTACTGCTTCTACCGATCGGTTGGGTTGGCTCCTCGGGTGTGAGGCTGATTGTACGGGAAGCTCCATCGGTACTGCTGGTAGAGATGGTGTGCAAAACAGGGTACGAGCATGGTAGAGAGGCGGGTGATTTGTTTTGAGAGTTTGGGGGAGGGTGAGGGTGGAGGTGGAGCCTGGCTGTTATTTCGGTCAGCATCACAATGATCGGGAGTGCAAAGCAACTGTGCAATCCAAAGAAAGTATCGCTTCGGTAGTTATAGAACTCTCAAATAGGAGGTGAAGGAGATCTCGGTAGGGAAGAGGGGGGGGGGGGTATGTAAGAGAGAGGAAGAGGAGGATAAATGAGGGAAGGCAGTAGGGCAAGGCTGCTATAGCTATTACAAAGCGGGGTGATGCTTGAAGGGGGGTTCGGGCCAGTGGGAGGGGCAAAATTGGTACTCACCTCTCAGCATGATTCTAATATTCTATCGTAGGATCCCGCCGCTGCTATCTTGAAGGAGAGGAAGGGAGGACTCCTTGCCGGAAGCTGGCAGGTCCGTACGGCCCGATTATTCTCTTGGGTTTGATGGTAGCAGGCAGGAATGGGTCTGCGGTGAGGTCGGGTGCGGGTTGGTGAGGTGGGAAAGAGGAGAAAGGGTTTACCGTACGAGTTGAAGTTGCGGTGGTGACGCACACCTTGCTCGAGCAGTTGGAGGTTGGATAATATGAGGAGCAGAGGAGGAGGAGCTGGCAGCCAAAATTTAGGAGGCACCACGCACCGGTAGCTAGCAATGAATAATACTATGCGTTTCAAGGGATTTTGGAATGTAGAAGGCAAGTTACTGCCCCGATTCTGCTGTACCGGTATAGCACGCACTGAGTTTATCGCTAAAAAGCTTTGGGAGGGGGGGGGATTTAGGAAGGAAAGGGCAAGCGTACGAGTTGCGGTTCCGAACACTAAGATCAACAGGCGGCGACAGCAAGCGGGTCAGTCCGGCCGAATTATGCCCCCTATCTTTTCCCGCTTCTCTTGTTGTAAGTCCACAGGCGGTAAAGGTCTTGTGTGCGGTGCGGATTCAGAGAAGGGGAGGGGGAAACCAAGGGAGGGGGAAAGTTTGGTGGTGGTTGTGGTGGGGGGAGAAGTGAGCGAAGTGAGTAAAAGGGAATGACTGGTAATGGTATCGAGTGACATGGTGGGAGGGGGAGAGTCAAGGCGGGGCGCAGAGTCACTGCACCTACCGTACCGCACCGGTAACAGGGACAATTACAGTAAGGATGAGTTGCCCTACTCAAGTACCGCACAGTATCATACAGCGCAGTACTCGTACGAGTGTGAGTATTTGTGTGGTATGATAGGGCATCCAGCGTCATACCATACCGGTACTCGAGTAACTCGAGCTCCATTGCTCAGGTGCTGGCGAAGGTTATCCTTCCTATTGAACATTGCACCGCACATCCCACACCGACCCCCCAGGCCCCTTCATGCAAAAACCCCCGCCAATAGGCCCCTCCATACCCCCCTTTCGATTTTCGATTTGTACGAGTACAGTACTAGGTACTGTATGTACCATGCTCACCCCCCCCCCCCCCGATTGCTTCCCAATACTCATTCCATAATATTATCATGCTCCACCAAAAGCCTCCCTGCCCCCCTACCTTACCCCGTCCCAAGCCAGTGCTAAGATATCATAATCATACCTTCATAGGTTACACCTAAAAGTAGCCTAGCGGAAACAGCCCCGCCCAATAACTGAGCCCCACGCTTGCCCAAAAGTGGTGGGATTAGCGTCAATTCTGAGGCTCCGGGACTCACCCTGATCCCCCAAATTTACCGCGGTTTCCTCCTTTAGGCAATAGTTGCAACAATTCCCACGGGAAGCCAAAGCTACGAGCACAAGTACCTAGCTCTGGAACAAAGCACTAGGGTGAGTAGTGAATTCCCCTCGGCAGCAATAAGCCTAGGCATGGTTGCTGTGATTTTCAGCCCCGAGGGGAGGGGGGAAATGGGGGAAGGGCGAGGAGTGGAGGATGGTGAGCGGGAGCGGACAGGGTCAGAGGCGCACAACACAGTGATAAAATGGAAGGAATGGTGGGAGGATCATGATCCACCAGGGGAGGCAGAGCAAGCCTCGCTGGTCCCATGTGCTTCTTGTGCCCATTTTCGTGTGCGCACCTGACTGACCGAATGCATAACTTGCCTCGCACTATCCTTGCTATCTCAACGAGACAAAGACCGTTCCTAACTTCCATGGACCATACAGGTGGTGGGGTTATCACACAGTATGATACACCATGGTTTGGATCCGAGGAGCACCGTACCAATGTCAATGTGAATTGCGCTGTGCGAGGGAAAACGCCGCCCTCTCCTCCAGCCATGCATGTCCTTACTCTTTTTTTCTTTCTTTCTTTCTTTCTTTCTTTCTTTCATCCTTCCCTCCTCGGCTCCCGCCTTCTTCCCGAGGGAAATAGCGGGTTATTCGAGGCAATTAACCTGTGAGGGCCAGGAACATAACAACACGCGCCAGCTGGGAACAGCAAGAAGGCATGGTCTTGATCCCACTGCGCATTTTCTGCAGAACCGCTATTATAAAGCAAGCATGCCCCGCGGTTCATCCGACTCGACCAAAAAGACACCGTTTGTCTCCGGGCCCCCATTTTCCACAACCAATTCTTCCAAGCCCCCGGACAGCTCATTCCCCTATAATTTACCCCCTCCAATGCAGTTCATGAACAACCCATTCGCCGCCGCATCACTGCAACGGAGTTCCCGGATCCACGGAGCTGAATCAAACACCCGGCATGCCGGTAATGATTATTTCCCCCATTCCCCCCCTACAGTGTGTGTACTCAGGTTGCCGGAGCCGCCACAGCTCAAAAATGAAGGGAGGAGAGAAAAATAACATGTCATGTATCTTGCCGTGCAACCTGTCCCCAGAACAGCAACAATCCGGTAGCCTAATACATACCGGTATACGAGTAAACCCTTCCCCCTTCATATGAATCCGTACGCCTGAGGCTTTTCTCGGGATAAGATCGAGCCAGGCTACGAATAGTGCGTTTGGCTATCATGGCACAAACACGCCATCCCACTCTTCGCTTGGCCATTTCCGGTAACACCAGCGTGATTTACAAATAGCAGAGGCCTGATCGGATCGCGAAGACCTCCGAAGGGTAGGCAAGTAAGGGTAAGGGTAAGGGTAAGAGGGGAAGTGGACGGGGGCAAAGAGAAAAGAGGAGAGATTAGCATCTATCTTTTCGGGGGGGAAATCATTCGTCTCTGAATTCGGTTTACATGCAAGTATTTGCGCTTCTCCGCACCTGTGGTGTCCGGTTGGCCAGGATTTTGCTTATGGCCCTATGACCGCCCGGATGATATATCATTGTCGATATAAGCTATCATAACTTACCCCCTTTGCCTCCCTCCGGTCGACATGAGACCACCATGGATTACGCACCAACATGTTCGGCTCAAGAAATACTCACGGCGGATCATTACCATGAAGCAATTCCCACGTTTTGTTCGTGCTGGAGGAAAGGAGGAGGAGGAGGATATCTTTTCCCGGGGGTGAATATCATTTGCGTCGGGACCCTCCAAACGAACCGGTTGTTCCTTTTTGTTTTATGTTTTGCGATTATTTATGGCCATTGCGAAGCCGTGCATTCCACGGGCCCAATAGTGGGCTACGTGAGGGAAATCCCGCAGAGCTCCCGACACGTCTACGAACCACACGCGTGTGCTCGGTATTACTTGAGCCCTGGAAGTGCTGGAATTTTGCGGTGTATCACAATTGAATTGAGCATTGGAGGTTTGTTACCGCTATTGAAACCAACTTTTGGTCTTTCAACATCCGCCGGATATCGCATTGTTATGTATGGCAAGTTCTGGACCGGATTCACGTCCCGGCTTCGTGGAGAGCAAAAGTTGTACGATACTGACGACATCAATATCACGTTGAGGTTTCGTCCGCTCTTGGTAATTGGAGGACTAACCTTTTTGCCTTGTGTCGGTGGTTTCAGCTACCAACTGCCCACGATAAAGTAATTGAGGTGGTCTATCTCTCACGCCCGCGACCACCAAGACTTGACCTCTTTTTTTGAGCCGGTGTTGTGGATCCGCTGTTCCGGTGGATGCCGGTACAACTGATTGTACCATGGGCTTCCAATCGGTGGGGTACAGTGCTGGAGATGTATCATAGTTTCTGCCACTGTGCCGTACCGTACAAGTACAAGTACTAGTACACTCTCCTGGTGATCCAATGTGTATGCTTGACCCCACCGATCCCACCATCACAACGAATTCCCACGGGAAGCCTCCAGAGCACAGTACCTGTCCCGGGAAAGAAGCACATGCCAGGAAAACGGGGAGGGGGGGTATACCGGTACTGTGCCGGTATGTAGTATTGGCAGTCCCCACATACAGATTTCCTTTCTCATCACACGACACAAGTAAATATAATTCTCTGGTCCCCGTTTTCGGGGTATGATACTTCTCTCCCGGGACAAAAAAAATCACGTATTGCAAGTTACAAGCAGACTTGCCAACTGCCGCAGCATACCATCGCCAAGCCCAAGAAAAAACAGCAAACCAAGGCCTCTATCTCTCTTTTCCTCTTTCTCCCACCACCATACTGTACCCACTCCACTTGCCGGTGTTTAACCCCCTTTGGAGTAGGATAGCACCAAAATGCCATCCATGACAGGGATCTAACTGGAGGCATACTACCGGTAGCGCCAGCCATCGATACCGTATCATACAAACTTTGACCCCGCCCACTCACACACAACAAGGCAGTTCACTTTCGAGAAGGATCAGGGAGAGGGGAAATGGCACCCTTTTAACGATTTTTGGGAAAGAAAAAAGGTATCATAAAACAAAGTAAAAAAAGGACATGCTTAAGCGAAGCATAATTATTTTATATTTTTCTTCCTCGCAGAGCACAAATTCTACCTTCGGTTGACCTTTCCTGACTAAAGGGCCCCATCTCCATCCCACTTCGTGTTGGGGGAGTTTTTTTAGTTTTTTTTGTGTGCGCAGTTATGCACGCCAAGAGTAGTTTTTTCTTTTCTTTCTTTCTTTAAAAAAAAAAAAGGGGGGGAACTTTAGTGGTCGAAGATGGATATTGTTTCCCGATCCGGAGGAGGAACTTCCGAAATGAGCCGATTGTGATACAGAGATGATCATGACATCTGCATCCGTGATTGAGCTATGATGAAAACACACACACAACATAAATAAATGGGAGGGAATACGGTACAGTACTGTACTGAAAATTGTCTATTCGCATATTTTTATAATGTCATCTTCTTTGTCACTGTGCTCGTATTGACTTGACTTTGTTCCTTTATTCTACCAACTATCGCGACGATATTTAGCGTGGCTGGCAGGTCCGAGTCCACATTGATGGCACACGCGGCCGGACTCGGGTGCAGTGCCGACCTTCTACGGTATTCTCATACCGTACCATCCGAGTCCCCCCTCCACCGATAGTTTCCTCCTCTCTAGATCTTTGTAAGAAATTTTTTTTTCTTTTCTCAAAAATGTATCTGGAGAGGCTCAATACTCAGTGTTTATCATTACCATCGCTCACCTCATTTTTTTTTTTGTTTGCTGCATCATCCTCGCTTGACGTATGTGCGGTAAATTACTCGGTCATAGTTGGACACCAACAGTGCGTAGTGGGAGGGTGATGAATGGACGTCCTCCCCAGGGTGCTAAGCTGAGTGCCCCAACGTAATTATAGATTATATAGCATATGGTGCCAGACTGACTGGCACTTGAGAGGAGGAGGACATGGGAAACTCTTCATTGGGCTGTTAAGGCCCTGTTTGGCAAGCCAGAAAAATGCATTTTTCCTCGCTATAAAAATGTGAATACTTGAGTGAATAGGTGCGTGTTTAACATACAACATAAAAATGGCATTTTTTCATGATATTATGGAACATTTCTTTTTTGTATCACATTTCCATGTCAAGCACTGAGTGAATATAGGAGAGGGGGAAAATAACCTAAACTTGAGTAACTGGTTAAATATAATTAATCACAGCATGACACACAAGAAGCTTCTACAAGTCACCACAACTAGGGCTTATGAATCTAATCATCACCTTTAACAGGTTTTACTATTTTCATCATTATAAATCCTGAAAAATGGGAATGGTGTTACAAAGATAAAAAAAAAATATGGCAGCATGCCAAACATGACCTGAATCCATTCCTCCCCAAAAGTGTTTATTCTCTCATGAGAGGCTTCCAATAATTCTGAGAACATGGGGGGTAAGACAACCAACCAGGCTATCATGCCTGGTCCTGGTATGTGCTGGTCCACAACTTCACTTTTCCTGTATGATAAATTTACCATATGTGATTATTAATTGTGTTGCCCCGCCCGAGCTCACCATTGGTCCAGCAATCGCTGCCCCATCCGGTTTGTTTCAAACTTCGACTCGGCCGCGTAGGAGTACCGTATCATACTCGTAATGTTTGGCGGAGAGGGAAATAGCGGGGGTAATGCCAAGATTTGGGATTTCTTGGCTTTTCCCGAGATGTGCAGAACTTGAGGTAATACGGTATGGTACTGTACGTTGTGGCACGCCTTGAGCAATATTCCGGCTCGATTTTATGATGCTGTGAACAGCGCCCGCCTCAATAATTTGGGTATGGTGGAAGTGCGGTATTGTATGGGGGAAGGTTAAAAGTGGTAATTTAGAGGCTTTTTGTTACTGTAGCCTGCTGGGTTTTTAATTTTTAATTTTTCTTTGGGGTTTGTTGCTGTTGTGCTTACAGGTATTCGAGCTCTGCCAAGTAAATTAGATATGATATCTTTGGTGCGGTGCCGGTATGTTAGGGATTGTGCTCTCATACGTCGATTCACTCCTGCTGTACTCAGCACTGTACTATTGGTATGATATCATACCAATATCTCGAATTCAAGTTTTTAGCTCCTTTCTTGGTTAGACCCACGCTAACAGAGTAGAGCTCGCGAGCTGGTAGTCTATATTTGGATTCTCTGCGCTATTGCCTGCGGGACCATGATAGTCCTTACCACTAGCTGAACCGCCCCAAGGGCTTGTCGTCCTGCTGGTATGATAATTTTTTTCCAGAGCTTGAGCTCATATTAAGCACCTCGAGGCTTTTCGCAAAGCCCTGTTGACGAGTCTGAGTGGGTCAATCTGGGGCGGTACGGTAGGTTGCACCGCCGCCTCGTGCATAGGGGCTTGGACAATACCGGTACAAGGTTAAATTAGGCCCTTCCTTGCTCATTGTGTATGATACGGGTACGTTACTTTTCTACCTGACCTACGCTAAAGAGTGCGGGTCATAAGATACCGGCATAATAGATGGGGAAAACACGAGAGTGTATCTGCAATCAGGGAGCAAAAGTGGAGCACTGGAGGAAAGTAGGAATGGTAAGAATCGATGCAGATCAACTCGAAGATGTAATGCATGGAATCCAAGCAGCCGACAGTACGAACCCGCCCAAAAGGTGGTTGATGGGTATTTGATACCCCGATATAAATTAGTACTCGATTGATTCTCGGAGGACATTTTTTCCAACACTCTTGCGGATACTATCGCATTGTCTTCTATTAAGTCTGTCATTGGTCAATTCGGACAGCCCTTGAGCTAGGTGGTTGCGGTTGGCTTGGTGTTGGATGCGTGAGTGAGAATGCCTGGATAGTGGGATACCCGAGGAAACACCACCGGGGTTACCACCAATCCTGCACTAGCAAGAACATTTCCGAATAGTGGTGGAAAGATAAGTACTGTCAGATGTACTAGGGAATGTGCCCTTGGCAGTTTGTGCCTCAGTATAATCACTCTTCCTTTGTTCGTGATAACCATTTTTGGTCTATCAGTTACATGGGTTTCTGATCCGGCAGTATGTTGTCGGTAGGGCAGTGGACAGTCCAGACAGGTTTGCGGACTGGTATCCCATTCACGCACACTGTGCGCTGATTGATGGGCCCGCGCGAAGGAAATACTGAGGATATGGCATTCTTTTGAATTCTGCTCTGCAACCCTTCAGCGAGTGATTGTGGATGAGGACAAAGTTACTTACGTCATGCATGCACAGTAGCTTCCGAGACTTTGCCATATTTTCCTAAAAGGCTGACGTCGCTTGGCCAATGCCGTTAGAGAAAGGTAGTTTCCTCCGCCTTTACTGATCCACGGCCGATGAACCTCCAGTGTACGCCTCTCTGTCTGGTAGACCATCAATCACTTGAGAGCAATCCTAACCATCATTGATTCATTAATCGCGAGATTTCTTCACTAGTTCCTGATATGAGATCGTGTACCTACCGCAGCGCTGGAGGAAAAAAGTGCTATGATATCTCTACGTTTGATAAGTACAAATTATTCATACTGGTTTAAACCTATGCTCCGAGAATTCAACGCATTGGCCTGCTTGGTGTAGCTGAACTGAGCAAGTCTACCGCTGACTCTGACGAACTGCGAATAAGCCCAAATCCCCTACCCACTCCCAACTCTAGAGTCTACTTAGGGCTGTTTCTATTCGACGCTGCAGGACATAATTGGAGTTTGTGTAATGGGAGATAATCTGTTCTATCGAAGAATACATCGAGAGTTTCCAGTCGGTTGTTGGTTTATGTTATCGTTCATCGATCCTTACCCAGGTCATATGCCTTGAGGAGACATGTGCACGAGAACTTCTAGGCTCCCTGACTTCCATTGCATTCGGCGTCGCTCACCACCGCCCCCTGCACTTATTGGATCTATACCCCCCTTCGGCATTCTACTTTACTCAATCTATGCTCTCATACTCATACTTTCACAACATCCTGTGGCCTTAGACAGGTGACTTGACCTGTAACACGAAGCATCTGCTCCTCGAGAGTTCAAATGGGGTATACACCCCCCCAATATAACTCCTTGGGAGTAGAACCGTACAAGTAGGTGCTAGAAAAGCTCTAGCACATGGTGCATAGGAGTATTAATATCAAAAAGCAGGTGAACTGAAGCATTTCTGTCCTTGCTATCATGATGCTACTTGGTCGTGATCCTTAGCGCCCGAGGTTCTGGAGCGATGTGTGAGGGCAAAATCCTTAACAACCCCGATTGTAAGGGGGCGGTTGACCAGAGCTTACCTTTTTTCTCCTTATCTTTAGAATGCCTGCTTCATCCACCCTACGAAGGGGGAAGTCAAGCCCCAGACCTTTCCCTATAAATGCTAGCAGTGATTGGTCTCACGGTGGTGAGGTTATCATACCAGCACGGGTCTACCATGTTCCTTTGTTTTAGAAATTCAACACTCAGGTGGGTATCATACTGTGCACATTCTCCGCTCTTGAACCGAAAAATGGCATGGTCCATTCCTTTGCGTTCTCGCCCATTTCGAGGCAGGCGGCGAAGTTGCTTTTGTAATAGGCCTTGCCACTATTGAATAGCGAAAACACATCCGTATGAATATAGCGGATGGGATCCGGATCATGCGGAGACATCCAGCCGGCTGCTATGGCGTATTCTTCGGCACCCTTTCTCAGCGATGCCTTCTGTTCTTCACCTTCAAGCTAGTCGATGCCCATTTGGGTGTGGTAGTAGGCTATAAAGGAGCGTTCGCGGGCGACCGGAGTGACGCTACGAGCACAACATATATTCCGCCAAGGGTCGGCATCGTCACGGGCTTGGGTAGCGTTCGGGGGCTTGGGTGAACGAGCGAACGAATCAACGAGCCATCGGCCGATTGCTCCCAACCCTTGAGTTTCTTGCGCTGGGCATTGGGAGAGGTGTTCCTAAGGCCATAAGAACGTGCTATGAATTCCCCAAGAAGTATTTTGACGTCTCTGAGGAACGTTTCTTCAAGAGTGCGGCCATGGGTAGCGCCGTCAACGTCCGGCCACATTCTCCACGCTTACTCAATGAGCTTTACCGCACGTCCGGGCTCCTTCTCGTTGTTTCCGGAATCAGCTATGCCGGCGAGTCACCCGCTCATGAGGGCGGAACGGGTCGAAAGCTAAAGCACAGGACGGATAAGACCCCATTCAGACACAGGCCTGGCAGACCCCATGTGAAAGATAGCGCGGGAGTTATCGATCATTGGTCCACTCTGCAGTAGCTGACTAAGGTGCTTATTGTATGTTATGATAGTGTATTTAGGCGATAGGTCCGGGTCGATCGCGTTTCGTTGGTGCTGTTCGAGTTGATACTAAGTTGGAATTTATCTGTGGCATCCCCGTTTGGGCAAGTGGCTCGACTGTCCTCCAATGGCGCAGTTGTAAGCTCCTCGAGAGTCTGGACGCGGCCGAATATTCCGAGCACGCATGGGGGCGCACCTGGCACTTGTCATTTCTGGTACTGGAGGAGGCTTGAGAGTGCGTTTTGAAATTGCATTTCACTACCACATTTAGCAAATAGTCAATAGTCATGTGGTGGGAAACATAAGTGATCCATATTCTACGCAAACAGGTCCCGTTTGGTGGCCAACTACCCATCGGCTCCCCCGCGGTATACCTCCGCTCAAACTCACGCATTGCACGTTGCCCGACGGCATCCTCGGTATCCTTCATGATATGTTCATGGTAACTTGGACGCTCTTCAATCTTATCGATGGCTATACCGAACGTAAGTAACAGGTGTGTTTTTTGATCATCTGTCGCCTGTAACGCATACTTTTGATGGACTTCTTGATCTCTGCCTCTTCCTTTTGCTTTTCCGCGGGACCGGATTTCAGATCCACCAGTCCCACCTTGAGAGACTCTTCGAACACTACTTTTGCCTTGTCCAGCTCTTGTTGCGCCTTAAGAACGCCTACTTTCCGACGGTAGGCGTTCGACCAAGTGGGGTCGAGCTTGATAGCTTGATTAACGTCGTTCAACGCAAGAGGAAGCTTATTTAAAGACAAGAGTGCAGCGGATCTATTTGAATAGGGGGCTGGCGAGGCAGTGTTCGAATGAATTGCTTGCGTATAGACTGAATACGCGGCGGAAAACTCCAAATTATCAGATGAGATACTGTGTTGATTTGGCCGCCTCCCCTCTTGACAGGGGGGATGGGGTGGGCGGGGAGGATGTGGGTGTTGTCATACTTTTTACCAGATGCGCCATTGCCTTGCTGTTTGAGAGCATCGGATTACTCCACTTGAGCTTTAGTCGGAGCTATTGTGATTTTGATGATATGTGGCGCTTGTTATAGATGCGGGATACTGTCAGTACTAGTAGAATGAGGAAGCTAAGGTGAAACGGGAGGGAGCATTGTCTTGGCAGGTATCACTCTTCTTTTTTGTTTGGCGGATATTGCTTGAGTGTAATGCTACCTACACGCATACTGGGATTCGAACGTTCCCAGATCGTACGATGGGGACGTTGTATGAAATATGAAGATCGTCTCGTACAGGTGTTTGAGGGAAGAGAACCGGGGAAAAAGAGAAGAAGAGATTTGTCCAACTACGGGCGAGGACAACAAGCCTTGTGAATGTGGTGTTTAAGCCGTGCTATTCGGGCCAATTTTACTCTACATGTCCCAGTGCTCCAGTGGGGTATTTTTAGATTTCAATACCGATACGGTACAGTACTCAGAGTTGGGGGTTGTATTGGACTAGACGCGCCCACTGATAATCACCGGGCGATCGCACGGGGGGGGTGCAGCACACCAGCACTATTCGACTAGGAGATTTTCCCTAAATATTGCACTGCTAAGCCGCCTGGTCTACCCCTAGCACAACTGCAAGTGGATGAGAATTTTGGGAGAAAGTTCGATATCGGGACGAATCGGGATCTCCTTCTACCGGCGAAAACTCATGCTGCGGGAATGGGTAGTGACACCATTCCAGTCATGGGCCCAGCCTTTAATACTCGATCCAGTGAAAACTCTGGGAAACAGGTTACTGTTAGTCGGGTGTCGGCGGTGTTGGGTTTGGATTCACTGGGTAAGGCTCTCCCAGGAATACCCGTGCGTGCGCTACTGTGGATCCAGCGATCCGCAGAGTGCTTGGATCGCTTCGCCCCCCCCCCCCCACTAGCATGGCTTTTTTTTTTGGAAATCCCAGCGACCGACGAATTCCACTTTAGCCTCAGCACCGTGGTTGGTGAATATCTAAATTTACCATAGCTGATGTTGGGTTTATCTGGTTGAAAGTCGGAGACTGTTGTTCTTATCCACGGGGGTCACAATTACGCGACCGGAGGTACAACTGTCAGCGTTGCAACCAATGTACCTCAACTCAATAAACCCAACAATGAAACAAAAACAGTTGTGGTAAAAAAACTGACAATAACAGAAATTAATACCTGGTATATCACCCAATGGGCTCAATCACAGCCTTTATCCTCTAGGGTATGCTCATTGCTAAAGTGTCAAATGAATCAGAGTACAATAGTTCAGAATGTGCGATGGCTGTTGCAAGGACAAGTTTCTGTGGGGTTGCGTGTTTGGTACATGTGTTGCAACGCTGACTGTTGTACCTCCGGTCGCGTAATTGTGACCCCCGTGGATACCTTGGTTGTCATAACAACGGAGCTTGGTACTCGTACAGTGCCAAGAGCTTACTGTCTTGGCTTGGCGGTCTCTTGGATAGACTCTTTTGATTACCCGAAGAGTGACTAGCAGCGCTGCAAGCATGACAGCTCTGCGTGCTAAACAGTGATGCCTTTGTTCTGGTTGGGGTTGTGATGGATATTGGGGCGGAATTGGGCCGGTTGCGAATTGTTTCCAGTGGAAGATTCATGGCAAGGGTAATTGTGTGCGGTTTGCCCTAGAGCTAACTATCCTCGGGAATGATAAAGCACCTACCTGCACCGGAAAGAGCCTTCCCGTTTGAGAGATGCCGCGGGAACTAAGTCAATAAGAGCAGGGCAGCCCCGGATGGCGGCTGGAGATAATAGAATGAATAACTAGTAACGCTGGGGGAAAAATTATAGCCTAAAGAGTAGCCTATCTCGCTCTCTCCCTCGACTCAGTTCGTCGAGTTAAGCTCAGGTGAGTAAGTGTACTCGAGTACAAGATACTTCTAGAGAGACTCCGGGAGGGCCTCGTCACTTCCAGAAACGTAGTAACGATTTGCTTTACTAACTTTGATTACTCCCATATCGCAATGCTGACTGTATCCTCCTTGTCCTTTCCTGTTCAGTCCGTGTCCGCAGGGAGCTAGTTGTAAGGTATCTGGGGAAGTTTCCTTTGATACTTGTTGGTTGCGCTCTAGCTCTCCCTTTTCTCGTTCTTTGTGTTTTCGGCCTGGCTTGCTATCAAGGCCTGGTTATTGGAGTGAGAGCTTATAGATACTATGATAGTCCATCGGTGTCGTGCCTAGAGCAGGACCGAGTTTGCAGAACTAATCCACTCTGATACTCTCTCTCTCTCTCTCTACGAGTATAGTTGGAGTAAGGAATCTACACTTTTCGTCCAATATTCGATGGCTGTTCCTCATTAAGGTTTGGCCCACATCAGCACATCCTCTGGGGATAATATCATCCCTCTATCTCCTTTGTCACCTGTTAAGGAGTAGGGACTTAAATTACTGCTTGTTTTTCTTTCTTTTCTTATACACGTAGTTGGGTTTCCCTCTTTCCCCACCTACATGTGTCCCCAACCAGTAAGCCGAACTCAAACTTAGGTATTTTTTTTCACCTGAGCATGGTTAACCAGAAAATCCTCGAGACGTATTGTCTTGTCCTGTCAAGGGCTAAAACTCATCCTCAGGGACAATCTTCTAGGCTTATAATCAGAGATCCTCGCCTAGTGCTAAATACTAAGGGGTTCGGCCCGGAGGGGAGAAGTATCCCACACCGCACTGTGCATCAGAATCTTGCCTTATTTTAAGTGTTAGAAGGAATGAGGGATTTGTTGAAATTGGAGAAGGTTCCGGCTAAAGTACAGTGGATTGTGATTGACCGTGGAGCTTTCGAGAATGTTGCAGGCGGTTTCCTTTTGTTCTAGAGTTATTATGGTTTGCAGAGGAGTTTTTTCCATACGTGTCTTTCCTTTATATATATATGTTTATCTCTAGTGTGTCGGGGATTGGGGACATGCTCGGAGGGGACAAGAGACGTGTGGTGTGGTGGTCCGTGGAAGGGTCAGGATGCCTTCATTTTTCTTTGCTCATATGCCAGTCTTTACCATTAGTTTAGGGAAGATGCCGAACGGAAGGGTGGAATTCCTGACCGTACCTTTCCTGCTATTCCTTCACATTGGTCGGGCCCCGGTCTAGTCCGCTTCTCCTTACGCTGTGTAAATTATCCTCCCGCGGATCCTCTGATAAACTTAGGCCGAACGAGTTGTCATGAAGCTAATTTGCGGTAGGCTGTTACTTCCATCATTATCTGCCCAAGTCTCTACTGGCCCAGGGCCAAGTACCTGCAGTTCAAACTTCTGTTTAGGAATCCGAGTGTTCAGGGGTGTTCGATCTGGCGGTAGTTCCTCTTCGATCAGCACCTCGGGCCTTCCACACCCCAGACTATCCGGTCGAACTGGCTTGCATCGGTGAACACAAGGAGGGTAATCTTCAATAGAATATGGTAGGCGATAATTCTGGTATATCCTTAGGGCACGCCGGGCTGTAGTGGATATGTGCATTACCTCTCCTTAAACATATCAGAAGATGTTTATATGATTGTAGGTGATGTGCTAGGTATTGAAAAATAGTACCATCGTAGCCAGGTTGTAATGCAACCTTAAATGTAAATTTTAACTAACCATTCTTCAGGATGGTAATCCTCTAAATACTAGCCTCTAGGTAGCAGTGGCATTTGGGCCTCATACTCCCTTATTTCCTCGATTATGACAAATGTAGGAGCCGCGCAAAGGTGATGAACCTAACTTGAACTTATGCTATAATATGTCTAAGAAATCATAGTAACTCGCCTTTGACCAATTTATGAGGGTCTAACATCTCACGTCAAATATCATATGGTATTAGATGCTGGCTTGGCCCTGACCAGATAGATCGGGTATCCTATTCCCCCAACGCAGGTTAACTGGAGAACGTATGCCATTCAAATTTGGAAAAAAGTGAGCTGCAGGAAGAAAGTCCAGAAGAGGCGAAGAACACTTAGATTATGGAAGAGCAGTTTGCATTGGCAAAGGAGGTATGGGAGGGCTTGCACGGGGGAAGATTTATCCCTATATTAGGATCCTTATATTAGGAGTATACCAGCGTGTACATTCCCTTACTAGGAGAACGGATGGTTACTCAATAGCAATTGCCTGGAGTGAAGGGTATGGTGCTTATTTATTTTTCTTACTCAGGGCGGCAAAAGGAGCCATAATTGTCCCATCCGGTAAGAACCATATCACGTGAAGTTGATGAAAATGCCGACGTGGCATGACGGTTCACTTTACGATTTTCTTTGTCTAGTCTAGGCCTATGGCTTGCCCACGGGATTGCTAATTGCCACACATCGCGGCACACTAAACGACCCAGAGTGGATCGACAGAAATGTGGCCCCCTCTTTTGCGGGGGAGGGTCCTTTTTTGTTATTGTGTTTTATTCTTCCAAATCATGTATGAGGCATCATGCCTTTTGGGCATCGAGATGGAAGCAGGGAAGTTTGTGCCCCGGTCTATGCTCCGGGGTGTCAGCTTTGCATTGGGCTCGGGGCCCTTTAGAGCAGTGTATGCCGCGGCCCGGTCGTTTGACAAGTAGGCAAACGGTAATAATGCAGAAGAGGCGGGGGGCTCTTAAGGGAGGAATTTTTACCTTTTCGTTGGTGTCGCGGGTGGCCAGTCTGACTAGGCTTTCTGCATAACCAGCCAGCAGATATATGCATGATTCCGAGTGATGGAACATGATTCTTCTGATCTTGTGAGGCTCGCTGGGCATGTTTATATGTTGACATTGATTGAACTAAACACGAGCGTTTCCCATACCTGGATAGTTGTGCCTAAGCTAGAAATAAGGGTCGGGAAAAAGGAAAATAGTTTGCGATGCGGAATCATTGGGTGAAAAGCCTGAAGAAGGATTTGATTAGGGGCTCATGTTGATACTAAAGTGGCGAGGGAAATTCGCTTAATAACTAAATAATTGACAGTGCATGCGTAATTTAAACGCACTTTGGGAATATCTTAGATGATGGGAAGTTTCCTACCATCCATACTACTCTCAATGCCTTGGATTAAGGCCTGGGCACTATGGACATGGGTGCAAGGTGTTCCAAGCTGCTGATTATTCTAGGGACGGAAGGGGTGAAAAGAATTGGAACATTACTTGAAGTAAAGTGACGTAGTTGGAAAGTGAAAGAGAAATAAAAAAGAAGTCTGTATCCGCAGGAGTTATATGTAATGCTATCTTTCTACTGAGAAGAGAAAAATACGTACTCGGGAAGAGGAAGCAAGGATTATTGCTACAAGTAGTAAGCCAACTGGTAGCAGTATATGTTGGAGGCTCATAATGACTACATGGGCAGTTGGCGAGGCTTGGGATGAATTTTGTCATACAAGTCAGGAGATCATTCAGTCTTTTAAAGCTGTTGGGGTTTCATTACCTATTGATGGCTGTTGTGATCATGATTGACTGTCATTAAAAGGTATAGGTATAGCAAAATTTGTTAAGGAAATTACTAGCTGGAAGTTGGGGGGAATTTAGTTGGGGGATAGAAGAGAGGATGAAGAAATCTTGGAGGGTGATGATAATAGTGAAGTTGAGTATGCTATAGATTCACCAAAAATTGAAGAATGATATTGCTAATCACACATGTCAAATAAACTTGTTTAAGGCAGTGTTCCCAAGCGTCCAGTCCATCCGTCCTTAGCTTCGGACGGGACGGATGCCGGTTCCTGGAACTCTGCCCTGGACGGACGCCCGTCCTGTGGTCCGTCCTAACCTCTGCCCGGGACTGCCGGCCGGCCCTATAGGTGTCTCACTTGCAAATAGACCTGCAGATGAGAGCTGGGCCCTACAGATGACGTCCGGGCCCTGCAGATGACGGCCAAGCCCTGCGAATGATGGCCGGGCCCTGCAGATGACAGCCAAGCCCTGCGAATGATGGCCGGGCTCTGCAGATGACGGCCAGGCCCTGGTGAGGACGGCCGGAAGACGCCATTTGTATTAAGACTCCCGGGCCCGGACGTCAACCCCCCGGACGGTAGTCTTTATCAAAGACGGACGCCATGCCCTGCCGTCCTTACCCACCATCCCCGGGACGCCCAGGACTACAAGCCCGCCCGGGACGGTTGGGAACACTGGTTTAAGGGAATGTCTAAACCTTGATACAACCTCTTAGCATGTTTCTCTCTTATTCAAGATAATGTGGTACACTTCACTCTCCGCACGCCCTTCCCCCCACGGTCCATACATTCTATCAGCCCCTCCCCGTCTTTAATAAAAAAAAATTATCTCCTTCTTGTCCCCGTTACCGTCAATAACCTTCACTACTTTCACGGCGGACTGCAGGGCGAATGCCTGCATAAAGTCTTGCTTATGTTCAATAAGGGTAAGCAGTGTTCCCAACCGCCCAGTCCGTCCGTCTTTGGGGTAGGATGGGACGGACTATAACCGGTAGTCCGTCTTTTTGGTAGTGCTAGGACTGACTACGCCCGGGACTGGTAGGGGACTACGGTCCTACTGCCTAAAATTCTAGGGACAAAAGGATAGTCCCCCGCCGTCCATCGTAGACCCCCGCCGGCCCCTGTGATCCCCTACCCCCCCCCTTTCCAATCCTGTTTCACCCTGTAGGGCCCTTTGTCCTACCCAAAGACGGCCGTCCTCTACTTTCACCATCCGGGATGGACTGCACATGGCGATCCCGTCCCGTCCAGAGCTCTTGGAAGTCCCCTGTGGGTCCCCGGAAGGTTGGGAACACTGTGGGTAAGCCTATTGCCCGTATCCTTGATTGTGCGATCAACGTCGGCGAATTTGGTATTGATAGTAACGCGAATGGTATTGGGCCTCCTGTTTTATTTGCTCGACGTCCGTTTTGATATGCTTGACATCTTTTTTGGCACCCTTGCGATTGAGCCATGCATCAACAACGACGATAATAGTGATGGACACGAGCATGACCGAGCAGCTCATACGGGTCCTGCTCGGCTATGATCTGGTCGAGAGGAACACATGATTGAATAATCGATCAATAGCGCGATTGCTGATCGAGTGATCGATCATGATCGTGTTTAGTCGAGTTTAGTCGAGCATTGTGGACTATGATCGAGTAGTATCCATAATCGATCAAGTCGAATAAATAATGGATCCTATGCTCGACCATGTCGTGATCGAGAGACCCTATGATCGAGGTGATCGAGCATCCTATAGTCGAGCAAAACTTGATCATGATCTGATAGTGGCGGCGTCAGTAGACGATAAACGCCAGGGCGGAAGCCACGATAAGGGTACGCTGGTCCCCTCCCGCCCACTCTGGGGAGCACGAGGTTCGGTTAACCTGTGGCCCGCTTCTCGATTTCCATGCGGAGGTGCTCGTACAGCCCATAAGTTTTGTATACTTTACAGGCAGGGGGTGGTGTACTTGTATAGCGCCCGCTGTTAGTAAAATATACAAAACCTTTGGGTTGTACCTCCGTAAATATCCAGAATGAAAATCTACCGCTCAATTGCCCCCCCTTGCCCCCCATGAAAGCGAAACCCTCCATCCCAGAAGCCCCGAAGGTACGAATCCTACTGCTTCATCAGCCCCGCAAAGTGAAAGATGCTTGTCCCACTTACTTGAAAGGGAGAGAGGACTTTTGCTTGATGGAGGGGTGCTTGATCCGTTGAATTTGGTAAGAAGAAGGAGGGGAAGGAGAGGTTTGTTGGTCGAATAGGGACGCTGCCGAGCTGCGGTTACCCTCATCCCACTCTCCCCACAAATCCGCCTCTATGCAGCATTCATTTCTTAGTAAGTTAAGGGGATACAGGAAAAATTCAACAAGTTCTCACTCGAGAGGGAAGGAGGCTGAAAAGGGATAGACTACCGTAAAAACTCTCAAAATCCGCTATCGCAGTGAGGTCGCTAATCTCGTGTTCAAAGACAAAATTTCCTAAGAAGGACCAGTGCCTTCCTGACACTGGATAGTCTGGGTAATTCAGCTGTGCTGTTGGGGTGAAAATGTGTTTTGTTTTCTTCTGCTTGAAACTTGGGTTTGGTTCTGTAATGGTGGTTAGGTTTTTGTTTGATTTGTTAGGGTTTGGTTGTGACTGGCCATGGTGATGTGGTGTGGACCAGAGAGGGAGAAAGGGGATTTTCTTGTCGAGCAAGTGAACGGAAAATGAAGAACATCAGACTATCAAAGAACGAACCTGTGGATGAGAGACGAAGACAACCTACGACTACGAAGTTTGTACCTACGTTTGGGAATTTACCTTTGTGTTTGCTCTTTCTTTTTCTTCGCATCAATTTAAATCGTACGGACCTCTTTCGGAACTCTTTTTGTGTGTGAAGGCTGGATTTGCCTGTTTGATTTGTAAATGAGTGAACCTTACCTGTTTTGTGTGTTTGGTTTTCCGACCCCGATCCGTCCCTTTTCAGCGCTGATCTCCTTAACTGGCTATCGCAATTCCGTCAACTTGCCAACCTAAACCTATCTTGGGCTGATCTCCCGATTTTACAGGGGTATTCGCTACAGGCAGAGATATGATAACGAATCGAAATTGTTTTTACGGTACTGTAAATTTACCCTGAGATCTCCTGGGATATATCATAACTTTTGGGATTTCTCTCTTCACGACAGGAGCAGCAACCAACGCTCTCTCCACGGCCCTGTGGTAGGTCACAAGATTAGGGTTTTTATATATTCAAAAGATACAATGCAACTACCCTTGGTCGCTATAAATGCCTCTCGCCTTCTGCATGGAGCGGATAAGAACATACGTACGGCGCACAGTACTCTTGGGCGTTGGAGGAGCAGAAACTACCGGTATGTGAGAAACCGAAACCCCGCGCATGATAAAAAGATCATATAGCTACTGTTAAAATACAATTACAAAGTCTTAACTGATTTGAAAAATGGATCGTTCTCCAAAGCTTCCCTGTACTCTGGTGCCTGGATCAGTTTCATGAGCTCGCCCCTCATCTCAGCGGAGGTCATCCCGGAATTTTCCACCTTATTTTTCCACTCAACTGATGCCTTTTTGAGTAGAGCTTATCCCTCTGCAATATGCTCTTTGGTACAGTCGGTCGTCTTATGTCCGTGTTTGCCGGTAAAGTCTTCAAGTTCTTTATAGAGGGGTATTCGTCGACCAGCGCAGTCAACTCATGAAAATGGGTCCCAAGCATTGGAAGACATCTGATTTCTTGACAATATGCTCTGAGATAGCCCAAACCCATCATAGATACTAGTACCTCGCCCAAGCTCATAAATGATAACCAGGGACTCAGAAGTTGCCGACTTGAGGATAGTCGGGGTCTCCAACATTTCAGCAATGAACGTAGACATCCCCTTCATTTGCGGGTCGCTCGCCCCAACACGAGTAAGTATACAATCGAAAATTGTCATCTCCGCCTCAGAGAATGGAACCAAGAGCCCAACCTGAGCCATTAGAGCAATGACGCCGATCTGCCGGATGTAGGTGGATTTACCACCCATGTTTGGACCTGTAATTATCCAAAACTTCGAACTGCCTCTGCGTAAGCTAACATTGTTCGTAACGAATTGGATGTCATCCTGCATTTCCATGCACGAATGCTGAGCTTCTTTGAGAATGGCGTTTCCCTCTCCCCTTGAATGCATCTTCGGCTTGATATATGGTGACGGAGCATGGACCGAAACATAAGCCAAGCTAACGATAACGTCCAGATCGGCGAGTACCGCGGCCAATTCCTCCAAGACTAGGCAATAAGAAGCCAAAAAGGTATCAGCTAGCGCTCGGGGCAGAGAGAATGTGCTGACCCCGGAATAACCTATATGCTACAGTGACAACTTCATCCACTAGTCCGCTCTGTGTCTTGTTATATATGCGCGTTGACTTATCGAAATCTCGCTTTAGATCCTGCATGGCAGTGGTCGTAAAGAAAACACCATTCTTCATGGTTGATATCTCCTTATATTCCCTCTGATTCCTTATTGAGCCTGCATCGGCACGAGCCAAACGGAAACACCATCCATATGTCTTGTGGTTTTCCATGAAAAGCTTCTTGTCAACCCTAGAGATGGCCACGATCAGATCATGATCGAGTCTTGCTCGACTATAAGATGCTCGATCACCTCCATCGCAGGGGTCTCTCGACCAAGACATGATAGTGCATGGGATCCATACTCTGCTCGACTGAACTCTGATGGTGATATAACCATGCTATGGGAGAAAGGTGGACATGCAGGAGCATGTATGATAGATGTGTAGGCAGCTGTGTGACTGCCACGGAGTGTGCTATCTCTATGGGGTTATGCCCCAGATGTAGTGTTTGTATGGGGCACTACCCCAGCGGAGGTGTTGTCTATATGTATGGGTCTGTAGTTAGCTGTTTGTCTGAGTATCGAACATCTCTCCTCTCCTCCGATCCTGTGCACGAGCCACCACATCTTTCTACCACCATCAAACTCCACTAACCTCGATCATGATCGATCACTCAGCCGTAAAAAAAGATATCTTGGTAATCATGTGACAATGCCTACGAGCACTACTCATGATCGATCACTCGATAAGCAATTGGGCTATTGGTCGATAATTCAACCACGTGTTCCGCTCGACCATGCTCGTGTCCACCACTACCCAGGGCTCTGTTTGGATATGGTATCATACATCTGTTCTGTCGCCCCATAGAAATGACCGTACGATAACACTCCCGTTGCAAAATTTCATGAGGGAAGCGGTGTTTGGCAGGGATGGAACCCGTGAACTCGGATATTCGACTTTAGAAACACCCGGAATGGGATGGGATGGCTGTCATAAAGAGTGGCAATTATTACCAAATAGGATATTTTGCTTTAAGATGACCGTCCTGACAGATACTCCATGGAAATTAACGCTGATATTGATAGGATTAATGCAGCCAGTTTTCAAAGATGGGTATAAGTTTCTACCAGCAACGATCTATATCCATTTCTCCTCCCCCCTAGTGACCCAATAAATATTGTGAGGTCCTATCATAGTAGGATTGCTATCGCTGCCTTAATGAGACTCTACGCAAAAGGAAGTGAAACGGTGGTCCGACCACCTAACGCATTTTCACTAGCCACGTGCATGTTTTGAAGTGCTCGCACCATATAAATTATACAAGTACCCACCTATGTGCATGATACCACAAAATCTCACTATTACCAGAGATGGAATCTTCTAATTATACAATTGCTCTTTGTTTTCTTAAACCTCCATCCTATCTCATTTCGCTCCCTCAATATTAGTGACTCTGATTTTTCGGGCATTTTGCCCTTTACCCTCTTTAAAGTTTTTTTTTTTTTTTTTTCCGTTTCCAACTATCCCGGCTATTTTGAGGACCGCCTTGTGATATAGAGTCTGATTTTGTGAATTAAAATATAGTAAATATAATAATAGTTTACGTGAATTTCACACCCCCGTTCCTGTGGCACGAGGAGGATCATTTACATGCGCGAGTGCTAACTCTCCATGTTTTGCGACTTTGCCGGTATCCTATTGCAAATTTACGCCCCATATCGTCAATCACACCTTGCAAGGTTTCGTTCGCCCCGCTGTCGATAGGGCCGTTCGCCGAGCCCAAAACGCGTTCTGTGTCGAGACGAGGGGTTACAGAATCGGATTGATAAGTGCTAGGGTGTGTTCAAGGGAGTATTAGGGAGGCTTCTTGAAAACGCAAATAGCTCCAAACCCATATTGAATCGACGAACGGCTCGATCGACATTCAGCCAAGCAGAGCTTCAGATGGTGGTTGGGGCGAGGGGCTTGGCTGTATCATAAAGAAAATGGTGGTTTCGATGTGATTTGATGGGGAACAGCTAATCGAGTAAGTAACACACTTTGGCCCTCTATCCTCAGAGGCCGCCGTACAGTGCTAATAAATAATTAACGGTATGATAGAACAAAAATTCCGAGCGGAAGGTTTGAGGCACAATCAGTGACTAGGACTTCGTCATACAAAAAAAAAGTCATTCCCATAATAAGATTAAATTTGTGCTCTCCTCTGCTTTCCTTTGCCTGATATCATACAAGCGCCAGTTGAACTCAACCTTGGGCCACAAGCTCGAACTTAAAAAGCATAATCACCATACCGTCCGCAACCTTAAATATGTCTGCCGGGCGCAGCAGAGTAGAGCATTCAATCGATAGAGGAACACACAATAGCTGAACCGGACAGACCCAGGAACCAGATCACCAGAACACCGATTAGAATAGAACATAGCCAAAAGCTCATGAGTAGCCTATCCGTCCGCGCGACAAGCGATATTATGCTCTCCACGTTCGAGTGCGGTACAATGCTCTCTGAGTTACACGGGAGAAAAGTACAAGTGTTGCCTGCGAATAGTAAAACCACAACGAGCACACTCACCCAAATCCGAAATAAAAATAAAAGAACTCACTAGCTCCCACAAACCACTCCTGCCAACCACACTCCCCTGTCTAAAGTACCACCATGTCACTTCGGATACCGTACCGACCACACCCTCCGTTATCCTAGGTAAGGGATGTTCAGCCCTGGCTTGCTGGGCATTCCTGCCCACCGGTATATCAACGCTATATCCTGAAGAACCCCGAGGGAATATTCCTTCCCAAGTTCCCGGGTTTCCCCGTCGTTACGATGAGTTGCTCGGAGACCAATCCGGCCCGTCCCGGAGAGAGAGCGGAGAGCAAGCGGGGAGCTGGCCGAGCGAGTGACTGTCCGTGATTGGGTTATGAGGACTTTGTGGGTGGGACGTAATATGGAGCACCGTACTGCGCTTGTGTGATATGTAGGGAAGATACGGTCGCTGCATGTGGGTGGGAATCGCTCTTCGTACGCAGTAGATTGGTTTGGAATGTGGGGGGTGGTGCGCTCGGGGGTGTGAGCTGTAGGTTTGAGGGGGGGGGGCACGGAGGCAAAAAAATTAGAATCAGTAAGATCCTGTTCGGGCGTGAGTTGATGGTCTATTTCGGTCTGATAGACAAGATCACCGGTAGCACTGAGTCGGTGCTAGCCGTCATTATATGTCATCAATCGGCGCAACCCTTCACATAATGGTTTCGTAGTTGATCGTACGGTAGCTATTGGTACCAGATAGTGCTATGAGTTCAAAACACCACCCCGCAGCTCGCCAGAACCGAAAATCAGAGTCCAAATGGAGTATAATTTTCGTTGCGATGATTAAGCACTCCTCCCCACCCCTTCCCACCCGAGATTCACACCAACTTAAGCTAAATCTCGCTCAGTCGGTACAGAGAGACCAAACAGGTTTTAGACTTTCCGCTTCGCCCTTTTGATCCTGGTTGATTTCGAGGATCTAATAGGAATAACTGGAAGTGGAGATCAGATGCTATGCTCAGAAATCCCACAAGGGTTATAGTAGGGTGCATTGGAACAGGTATAATACTCAAATACAATACAATGCCTCTAGCGACTGTAGGTTCTCCGCTGGAGGGGTGAGCTACAGAAGAAGAATTCTTTGGCACAGCCCTTTACAGGGTACCGTGTCTAGATGGCAAAGCGAACTGCGTGCTACGGGTATATTCAGGAAGTGAACTTAGCTTCCAACAATCCCGTGACCCATGAGATTAACTAATCGTTTCCCATTCCAGGTGAAGTGCAACTAGGAATCACAAGTGCTCCCTAATGTCTATGCCCCCCTCGCCTCCAAGACAGGTAAGCCAACTCGTTCCAACCCTCCCCCTAGAGTTGCTTCGGGTCCCAAGGGTACTGTTGATCAGAGAGTCTTCTAATGAACGAAATAAATCCCTATTGTCGGAGGTCTCGCGAAGCACTACCAACCGCATCCAGCACAGCCAAACGCCAAGCGACCTCTACTACAAACCCTCCCATAGCTCTACGGGAGGTGGAAGAAGAAACTTTACGATCCAGAAAAACGGTTGAGGTTCTGACGGTGGCCCACTGGCCCGGGAAAGTAAGGTGGTGCCATAAAACACATCCGACCATGCCAGATTATGTGGGGTATGGCAAAGGGTAGGTGGTCCGGGGTTGGAACATAAAGCTGAGGGTCAACAGTAGCAGCTCAAGCCCGGCATTCTAGAAATCGTGCTACCACCGAACGGAAGCGATTGTGAAGGTATGCCTTGACTTTGTCATTCGAGATTAGACCAGCAGTTTCCCTGATGTCCAAGATGCAAACTTCCTCTCAGAGGCAGTAGAAATGTCGTGTTGGGGTAAGGCTAGGAGCAGACAGCCACGAGATCGTTCATCAGACCAAAGAAGCTCTGGTCCCAGGCCCACCTCGACCTTGCCTCTCAGGAAGAGAGACGGGGGAACAAAAGGGGATGAAGGTTTTTTTGCTCTAACCTTGGTTAATTGATCGTGGTGATTGCTTGAACGCGCGCCGTGGGGCTTAGCGTGCTACTGTATGCCACCCGATGCGGGTATGTCAACTAATATCAGGTTAATATTAATACGAAGTGAAATCAATATATGGCAAAACCTGTGTGAAGCAAGAATGATAAATGAATTGACAATGGAAACCGTCATTACAAGATATTTATATCCATCTCAGTAATTCTCCAATGTGAGCAATATGATACGGATACATATTCTTCAAAGCCATCAGATCTGCATATAATCTTGTTTAGAGTTTAGCTAAGCAGGGTCTGAGCTAAGGGTTTACTTATAACTGCCAAGTTTATTTCTCTGCTATAGTATCATATCATAGGTAAGGTAATCATGATTGTAAACAGGGGTTTTTTTTAAAACTTCTCTTTATTGCTTTTTTCTTCTTTTTTCTTCTATTTTTCTTGGTAATAAAACAAGATTGAGCTAAGCCTAAATGCACCCATTATATCCAAAACTATTACAGGTACGATATCTCGATTCTTGACAGGTATGATAGCTTGACATAATATTCATAAAACACCATTTTCTGAAAACAATTTATAGAATGACTAAGCCGTTTCAGCATGGTTGCAACACACTCTCCACTTTTTCCCCATCCTCCCTTCTTTATTAATTAGTTCATTTAAATTTAGGATTTCCGGAGCCTCAGAGTTCGAGAATGGTGCACCTTTCGAATTGGGCGAACTATAATTTTTTCTATTTTCTATGATAACTCTTATCATACCCTTGCCGCAGCGCGACAGAGCGCATGCTTGTAACATATTTCCAGACTTCCCAGACCTGAACCCAAAAGCGCCTTGTCATTGTGCAACTATAACTAAGCTTCCTATGTCAGTAATTGACCTCCAAACAGCAAGGCTCACAGACGATTTCTCCCGAGATGTGTTGGCGGTACTGAGGCATTTGGTGATCTGTGTAAGTTGCTAGGCTCCCTGAGGAAGGACGATAGCTTTGCGGGGCTTATCGTGAGGTTGACTTGGGGTGTGCAAGTGCATAGCGCAGGACCGTGTCCTCCGATATACGAAATTGGCCAATTATGCAGCCTGACAGATTCAATGTTGTAGGTGCAGTGGCGGTACTGCATTGCTACGCCGCCCCGAGTGTAACACTCCAGAGATCACGGAAAAACTCTGCTTCCGGAATCCAAAGGGCAGACTTATTAATTTCCCGAGGGGGGGCGCTGTGCATGCATTTACCCGGCTATATTAATTATCTCTTGGGCTTCGTAAGAGTACGGTACCAGGTGGGAGGTGGGCTGCTGTACCATGGGAAAGGAAAATCTTTATACTTTGCCAAGTAAGCCCACAACCCAATCCTGGTGATCACGGTGGGGAAGGTCGGGCCCTCATCAAGTACTTCCCCATATCGTACCGGTACGGGACTCGCCCCAGTGTCTCGGGGTCAATCATGGAAAACAGGTGCCACATTTTGTTTCGGGGTAGGCCCCGACGTGCAATAGGCATGGATACCAGGAGCACTAGTACCAAAGGCTCCGTTTGCTCAGGGAAAAGTGAATTAATGGAGTTACTCGAGTACTGAGGATAGTTTCTAAGAATTCAAGGGAGAACACACATTGTTTGGCTTGTATCAGACCGCTATCTTATTATTTGCAGGCCTCCAAACAGCGTGCTGTCCGGATCACCCGATAAGGCCGCTATCCTATGCTCGTGACCCGGAATTAAGCTTTCTTCCTTTCTTTCTTGCTTGCTTTCTCGGAGCGGACCCCCACCGCCCACCAAAACGGCGCAGCCCTGAAAAGGCGGGCGCAAAACAAAGAAAAATTCACATGCAAAAACACCTGAACAGAGGCATTCAGCCCCAGGTTGAAACCCGTTTCCACCCAACTCTCCCGAGTGGAAGGACTTTGGTGCGTAGTACCTTTTGCACACAAATCCTGCAGACCCATCCGAAACTTGCCACTCGAAAAACTCTTCCTCGACCCCGAGGTTGATAGCTTCTGATGAGCAAGAGCGCTATAGTGAGCTAACACATACGGGAGTGAACACCGAACTGACATCTCGAGCGGGGTCTTGTTGGTACAGTATTGCACTGTTGGCAGTGACCAGTCCTGGCCATGGCAGCCGCGAGCAGAAGGGGGTGATAGGCAGTCAGGCTTCTCTTAGCAGACCCACAAAAAGTCAACTACTTTCACTCTGATGATAAAATCCATACCCAATTTCAGGCTCCAAAGTTCGGTCCTCTGTCTTCAAGTTTAGTAGACTACTTTCTTCCAAGTCTTCCTTCACCATCAAATGACATGGTGGCTGGAGTCCCTCCAACTCGGGCTATCAAATCCTAACTCCAGTATTGCTGCAACGGCCCCCGAACGGTGGGCCCTAACCACTGGTCATGGCATAACGGGGGTGACCACCAGCCGCCCCCCACGCTGCAGCATTGCGCTGAATTTGGGAGGGATTATTATTCCCGGTTTTTACCCATTAGTGATGGCCCTTGCTAATGCTGGCACTCTCTCACAGGGGTACTGGGCACTAAGGTGTTCTCAGAGGCCAAGAAACGCATTCCTAAAGCCTCCTTCGAGTCCGGTGCAGATCGCAGTACTGGTGTGATACTGTGCCGGTTCTCTGCTGAGTGCAGCAGGCCTTGCAGTATCAAGGACAATACCCCCCCAGTCGCAGGAGCTAGGGTCAAAGAAGTATTAACCCCGGAATATCCTGAGAAAGTAGGAAAGCGGAAACAGTTAAAGGCAGCAGCCTCCCTGAGAGCTGCAAGAACCCAATGATTTTGCGTGATACCAATAACTCGAGGTGCAGATACACATACCGATGCTGTAGCTCTCGGCATAGAACGTTGACAGGGTCGTTGGCGTTGTACCCTGGATCTGTGAAACGGTAGGACATTTAACGCAGGACACCTTGTTTTCTTGGCAACGGCGCCCACGCCGAGCTTTCTAGGATCCCTCACGGGCCAACCTCCCGCCACCCCTCATCTTGAACTCGAACTATTAGCGAGCGATGTGAGCACGCACCTGGAGGGATTGAGTGCTGCTGGCCACTAATAAGCTTTATGTTTTTACCTCAGCCGAGAATTCGGTCAGCAATACGGTAGTACCATTGGAGAATCAGTGACGAGTGCAATCTCAGGATAGATGGCTATCTGGCACAGTATAACAGGGGATTGCGCGACTGTACGGTATCCCTTCGCTCCAAGGAACGCGGTACTGACTTACTGCAGGCAAACGCGATACCGGTACCATATTCCAGCAATTAATCCAGGCTAGTTACGCCTTAAACTTTGCGGTTACTAGGGGTGCGATATTATTGCACGGGTAATTAACTATATTACCAACGCCACAGAAACCGACGGGGGCCCCCGCCGGCACTTGCGAAACATCGAAGACATCATACCCGGACACCCAGACAGCAGACGCCAAGGACCTGCCTTTTTGGTCCGGATACCGCAACCACTCGGTTTATAGAGACCGTTGCCAAGGGGTATTGGCAAGAATACTGTACAAGTACTAGTACCTGTACCGTACTGTACCACTTTCAGACCAGGTGAGCATTACCCCAATACTCGCTAGCCGATTAGGAAGGGCAATCAGGTTTTGTCTCTAGTACCGATATGATATTACCAGTAATAGGTATAAATGGGGCACATCCTCTTGGCCCCGTGACAAGCAAGATAATGCGAGTGTAATCACCCTTCCCCCGACGTTTCTTGAGTAGAATCAAGCCAAGCTGCGGAGGAAATGATCGGCATTCAGGTACGAGTTCTCCACCTACCGTATTCTACTCTAGTACGTTATAGTGGACGGTCCCTCCAGCTTATGCTTATTTTTCCGATGGAAACTAGGGGTGGGGTAAGAAATTTGAATTGATCGGTCCAGTTGTACGAGGTGGTTGGGGGCACCCCAAACAGGAAGAGTCCCCGAATGGCCCATCCTCAAAAAGTAAGCTCCGCAAAAAAAACTCTTGGAAGTCCTCTCCCGTCCTTTGTATGCCATTACTGCGAGATCCCCGGGCTCGAACAAGGGAGGGGACGACTAACATGTGGGGCGGCGAGCAATACACCAAAAAGTCCTGGCAGCAAATTCCCAAATCTGGCAATGCTGTTCGCTGGCCCCTCCTGTTTGCCTCCTTCACTACCGTACCCGTAAGGGCTCTTGAAATCCACCACCGTATCTCTCCCAGCCCCGCAATCTCCGGATCCAGAGACAAAAAGCTACTGGGAGGGAGTAGCATTTTCCCAACACGGTATAAGATTAACCCGCTAGACATATTGGATCTCATTAACCTGTATTCTCAATTCTGCCACCCTGTCAAACTAAACTTATCGTGAGCTGACGGGCTGATTTCCTCTGATAACCTGACGGTGGATTTCAAGCGATCTGAAGGATCGCAGCGGCCCACGGCGGTCTACTCAACCCCGCCAATTAGTTTTCCGCGTGGCGTATTGTCACCCTAGCTCATCATATCACCCCCCCCCCCCCCCAATCCGCCTTGGATCCACAAAGCACTCGAGTACTAGCACAGAGCACACTCCCTGTTGGGAAACAGGAGTGTGTAGGGCATTAAGTAAGCGCAAAAACGGGTGATGTAAACCATGCTGGTCAGGTATACGCTTTTCGAATGAGGGGAGATAACAGGGCTAGGGCGAGCCCATTCAACGACCCACTATAAATGGACCAGCATCCCCCAGATTACCCTCCCGGATTTCCTCAGAACCCCAGTCTCCTTTGGCAACCGGTCTACCTCCCGTGCTCCCTTTTCTTCCACAAGATACCAACCCGACTTTGATCCTCATTCCCACACGGGTGACCAACCACCTCGACGATGGCGGGGCCTTCACGGAGAGCTAGAGTCGCCAAACATTTGAAAGAAATCTTCACAACGGGCGAAGGTCAATACATCAATGAGCAGGGTGAATACGTCTATGGTAAACTACCAAGGACTAAAGCAGAAAATCCCTTCAGAACGTTCAGAAGGCCAACTCTTATGAGTGAGCACCCTACCCCCACCTTACGTTATCACAGCTATTAACCGTATCCGAATAGACTATGTCTACTTCTTCGTTAGTCGCTATGGACCCTTTTCCGATTGAAATTTTTGCTGAATGGGTTTCAACAGGTGGGATGGATGGCGTGGACCATGGACGGCTACGATTTCCACACAGTCTCGCTATCCATATCCCGTCTCGCGACGTTTTACGGTCAGCACAGGGAGCACATTTCAACATCAATCACTCTGACGTTGCTCTTCCGTTCTCTGGGCGCCGCCATTTTCGGCATAGCTGGTGATCTCTACGGGAGGAAATACCCCATGATTGCGAACTTGATCCTCATTGCCGCCCTCCAGCTCGCAACAGCTTACTGCGCCACTTTCAATCAGTTCCTGGGTGTGCGCGCTCTTTTCGGTGTTGGAATGGGTGGTATTTGGGGTTTGGCAGCTTCTATGGGTCTCGAGAGTAAACACCCCAGCTATCGTCCATGTTTGGGTGGATAGAGTTAAGAACCTGCTATCAGATATGCCCATGGAAGCTCGTGGACTTTTTTCAGGAATCCTTCAGCAGGGTTACGCCCTCGGCTATCTTATCGCCGCCATATTCAACCTCTACGTCGTCCCCAAATCTCCCTACAGCTGGAAGGCCCTCTTTTTCATCGGTGCGGGTTTAACAGTCGCCGTTGCTATCGCCCGTGTATTCTTTCCCGAATCCAAGCAGTTCATCGAGGCAAAGAGAAGCGGAGAACAGGCAACAGGGAGGAAGAAGGTTAAGCTTTTCTGGCAGGATGGAAAGAGCATCATGAAAGAATACTGGAAGAGAGCTCTTTACGCCGTCGTCATGATGAGTATAACCCCCATGAAATATTGTTCTTGCAGACCACCCACTAATATCGAACAGCCCTATTCAATTTCATGTCCCACACCTCGCAAGATATGTACCCGACCTATATGCAACAGACTAAAGGATTCAGTCCCGAAATGTCCTCCAAGGCCACAATCATTGCCAAAACCGGAGCCCTTGTTGGCGGCACGGTCAATCCACCCCTTCCAGTCATTTCCCGCACCAAAGAGCTAACATGGTGTAGATCTGTGGACACTATTCACAATTCTTTGGTCGCCGAGCAACCATCATGGCGGCTACCTTCTGCGGTGCCTGCCTGATTCCAATGTGGGTCGTTCCATCAAGTTGGGGTACACTCACAGCCGGCGCCTTCCTCCTCCAATTCATGGTCCAAGGTGCATACGGTGTCGTTCCCATCCATCTTCAAGAGCTCTCCCCACCCCAATTCAGATCCTCCTTCCCGGGAATCGCATATCAAGTAAGCAGGCGCAATCCATCTCCCCCCCCCCCCAATCCCCCTAGCTAACGCTGAGGAAAAAAAAAAAAAAGCTTGGAAACATGATCTCAGCACCTGCAGCTCAAATTTCCTCCGTCATCTCCGAAGGTTGGATCATCCACGTCAATGGGGAAGAGCGCCCGGACTACGCGCGCACCCAGGCCGCCATGATGACGGTCATCTTCTCCCTCCTCTGCTTCTGGACGGCGTGCGGCAGTGAGCAGCGTGGAAGTCACTTTGAACTCGCCGCCGCCGCCGGTGGCATCGGTGGCCACAGCGACAAGCTACGCGAATTGGAGAATTTCGAAATGCAGGACCCCCCCTCTGCGAAGCAGGGGGGTGTCAGGGAGATTATCGAGGGCCAACGCTCCAATGCGTGAGGTGAGGGGGGGTTAAATGAGTATCGTATCGTCTGGTGGTTGCTAGGAATGGGGCTAGCTAGACTAGTTAAATAAAGTTTGGATCAATAAGTTAGGCCAGAAAGTTGCCGCTCTCTTGAGATAAATTCGGCCAAGAAGTTAGAAGAGGTATCGGGAGGGGGTGGAGTGTGTATTTCATTACGAGTTTTTCCTTTTACTTCACGATTGGATTATAAAAGTTCACGAGGCTATATCCCCTCAGCACACGCACAATGTATAATATCACGAAAATTTATGAGGCATATCACAAGGCCGAAGAAGAAGAAGAAGAAGAGCCCTCTAAACCCCCCCGCCCATCCACATCCTCAAAGCAAGCGGCAAACCAGCGCACAATCTCGCTAACCATCTCGGAAGTGCACTCATGCTTAACCCCCTCATACACAACATCCTCAACATCCAACTCCAACTCCCCACTGCGGACAGCCGCCTTGACCTCCGTCAGGAAGGGTTCTGAGCAAGAACGGTAAGGCACAAGCCTGTCAGCGCCCCCACTCAACGCCAACAACCTCTTCCCCTTCCAAACCCCCCTCAACCCCTCAATCCCAACGGCCGCGGGATCCAACCTGCCGACAATAGCACCCAACCCCGCGCCCTCGAACACCCCTCGCACATCCACCCCGCCACCGGACATCTCGGCCCTTACGGCCATCAACCGGCCAAAATCCGGGCACCCGATGACACTGACGACCCCCTCGACCCGCGGCAGCGCGAGCGCAAGGTATGCCGCGTGCCCGCCGAGACTGACGCCGACGACGAAGTGGCGCAGGGCGCGACGGAGGTAGACGCCCAGGTACTCCACCACGAAGCGCAGATCCTCCAACGTGCCGTGGTATATGGAGAAGAGGTCCTCAGCGTGCCGCGCGTTCCCGCCCTTCCAGCTCTCGTTCGCGAGCGGGGAGACCGTGCGCGCGCCGTGGTTTCGCGAGTCGAAGGATGCGCAGATGAGCGATCGCCCCTTACCGCCCGCGTGCGGGGGGAGGAGGAGGAGACTGCGCGCTATGCCTGACATGTACTCGTGCGTCTCGAGGCGTGGGTGCAGCAGGTGGATGCAGGTTAGCGGGGTGGAGGCCGCATGCTTACCCAGGTTGTAGAGCTTTATCGACAGTCCGCTGATGGTCAGGGTTTGCGTGTCCAGCGGGAGTTGGAACAGCGCGGGGTCGGAGATTGGGGGGTTGGATTGCATTTTTCCCTTTTTTTTCTATAATAAATAATATTATTATTGTTGAGTTTGGAACGGGAGTTATTCCGAATACAGCACTGTACTATCAAGTCGACAGATAAAAATCTAAACGAGGCGGGGTACCGTAAGATAAAGTGGAAGGTACGACAAGCGCGAAAAAGTCCCCTCGTGAAGTGAGTAAGTTTGTATCATAGTGTGGCTTACATAAAGTACTATACTGTACAGTCTAGACCTGTGCATGATATGATAGGACTTTACTGTAGGATGCCTATCATACACAAGTCACAGCACATATAACAGTCCATTAAGACCATAATACAGTTATTACCATTCGCGTGTATGTACCACAAACACGATTATTGCATCACCACCACCACCATACCCCCACATAGAGTACGGTACACAAATTCGACCGACAAACCTCCTCGCTAGAAACCCTTGAAAGGTATAATACCATAAGGAGCTCATACTGTACCGGTACAGTACAGTACCATAGTATCAAGAGATACACTCAGCCGGATACCGCCAGCTTCAAAAAAAAAAAAATCTGATTGCACCGGTAACAAAGTACGATAGATTCCGGGGGGTTGCTGTATCATGCCGTAACGTACTCGTTAACCCCGTGCATCACCAATTCTCACTCACTCAAAAACTTTTTTTTTCAAAAGATTCCGTACCGTAGTGTACCATTCATTCCTACTCACGTTACCGAGATGATCGTCAAGAGGGATGTGTCTACAAGTAACAGTAGAGTACCGGATCTGCTATATGATTTGGGAAAGAAATAGGAGAAAAGCGTCAAAGCGAAACGAAAGAGATCGGGATGGATTGTCCTTCCCGATTGGCCGGCGAGTACTGTACTGGTATGATCCTCATCAGGTCTGAAGGTGGTATGTATACGGTATTCTTGCCAATCAGCCCATCCCACCCCTTGGCAACAGTCTCTACAAGTACTGTACAAACCGGGTCGGTTACGGTACTTGGCGACTTACTACCGTACTGTGCTTCTACTCTACGGTACTCTACTCCGACCGAGGGAGGGCGGGAGGGAAGTAAGGAAACTGTCCTCCCACGGATCCACCAGTCAGAAGCTTCAAGAAGCGAGGGGTAAATGGTACAAGTACAGTACCGGTACGGTGCACTGCACCTGCTCTCGTACAATGCCGTATCATACCGGTACCCAACGTACAGTATCATGCGGTACCGTACCTACAAATCCAACCATAAGAGTGAAAGCCTCAAAAGAGCCTAGCCTTCCCGCATCCCTCCCTCCCGCCCGCCCGTCCACCCCTCCCTCCCGCCCGCCCGTCCACCCCTCCCCTCCCGATCCATCCAAAACACAAGATATGCACCACCATTGGTCCCGCCAACTTTCCCGCATGACAATAGCAACCAACCCGCTGCATTACGATGAGGCGCAGATTAAGTTATTACGATGTCGATCAGCGGAAAGAAAAAGAAACGCGCCAAAATCCAAGGCGAGTTGCACGAAAACTTTGTTTCGCCAGCCGAGTCAGTGCAGTAACTGTCAGCTGTACCTCTTTCGTTGGAAGAAGGCGAGGCTGCGAGCACCCGGAGGCTACATGGTTACGAGTAGACTACCGTACTCGGTCGGTGCGCTGGGAGAAGCGTGATAAAGGGCGGCCTTACAGATGCTCTACTCGACTGATCGATCGGTCCGTTGCTGGCCGTTGATCGCTGTGATCCATCCCGAGGAGGGAGGAAGTGTGATTGATTGGGAAAAATATTCTATGATACCGTAGTAGGAGTACGGTGAGGCATTGTAAACGGAGTTGGCGCGGTAGGATGCCGCACAGTACGGTATTGTACAGTCCCCCAACAAAAAGAAAAAAAATGTAATAATACTTGGTATGATAGCCCAACTTTAAGAATGCCGGTATTAGACCTGCCTCTCTAGTAAACTCCACAACGCCGGCCAGTATTTTCACTTTCCTTTCCTTTCTTTTTTCTTTCACTCCTCCCCTAAAAAAAAGAAAAGATATCTTCGGAGCATAAGAATGTGCTGGTACGGCACGCTTCCTTCCGATCAAGTCGTGAAGTGCGATCAACTCATTCTGGTTCGGAAACTCCAAGTTTCACTGCGAGGGTCTTTCCGCGGGTGCATGGCGCCTTCTAGCGACGCGATGCCGCAAGGGCACGACGAGCAGGAATAGCGCCAGTTAAGCACGAACTGCACATCCATGACGACGGCCGATGACGGGGTCTGACTGACCGACTAGCTGACCGATGTTGGGTACGGTAGTGCCCTTATGCTGTACTGCTCGGGGCGCGGTACAGTGTCGTACTAACCCACTGCGCATATAAGACAGCCGCGTTGGGGAAGCCTCGCGGCGGTGGCCTATGTGTAATCTGCGTGGTGGGGCGTGAACTGACGGTGAAACCGTTGCGACGAGGAAATATCGAGGATAACTATGCCGTGCGCCCTATACCGGTATGTTCTTTAGAAGAACCCCCTCGAATATTCGAGAAGAAGAAAAGAAGCACGAATCCCCGTCCATCGCAAAACTAAACTCGATGATTTCCACATCCAACGATTCCGAGTGTAGTGTACTGTACCGGGACAGCCCGTTCCCGATTGGTCCGAATGATCCCGACTCGCCAGCTCCCCCTTCAAAGCCCTATGATACCACATCATGCAAGGGAAAGCCATGATAGGGATTATATCCAAAGCCCCCGATACAGTAATCCCGACCCACTCACACTGGTACTCTTCCCATGCCTTCATCCCGACAGGTCGGATATGGGGCGAATGCGGAGGGGGGGAAGGAAAATGAATGAAAGAAAGAAGAAAGAAGAAGAAGCAACGGTTCAAACGATACCGACTGGACACAAAACGGTCCGGAAATAGGTGATATAGATTGTTCATGCTACGGTACGGTTACCCCGTGACCGGGAGGAAGACAGGAAAGCAAATCTATCATACCTGACAAGACCAACCGACCAACGGTGTACGGTAGTACTAGTAAACGAAATTTGTTATATGCAGTAAAGAGCTGTGCCCTGTTCGGCATGCACAGTACAGTACCACCGAAAAAGTACTATTATCTCGTGGGAATAGATCGTAACCAAAGCATTTCCAAGAATAAATGTTTGGCAATTCCAGCCTTCAATATATTGGTATGTATCATTGTCCGTGATGTCTATCCCGCAGTTCCTTACATATCATATCATACACAGTGTCTGTCCTAAATTTATCATAGGTGGTTGGTCGGCTGGTTGGCTCGGTGAGTAAGTGAGCACAAGCAATCTAAGTGATGATACGGCAAGTGTAGAGCTGTTGCGTCTGCAGGACCAAGTTGCAGGGCGGGGCAAGACAAGGCAAGACGAGCAATCGCGATATCGTTGGAGGGAAGGGAAGGGCCGAGTATTGAAAAAAAAAAAAAAAACAGTCAGGTGCTCAGCATACCAAACAAACTACACTTATTGTACCATCATACTGGTGGAATATCGGGCTCAGTGAGAAGACTCCACTCCCAATCTATGCGAGAGAGTTTTTAAAAAAAAAACTGGGTGAACGAATGAATATAATATAATAATATTATGATCCACGAGGTTACAATATTGTCATAGAGTAGTTAGGCCAGAACCCATGAAATCCATTTCCATCCATTTAGCCACTCCATGCTGTGCCATGCTCCGTTTGAACCCGATACCGTGTGTACGACCATGTTCCTCGACCATCAACACATGGCACGGCACTTTCCGCCAAGCGTCGCACTGCCACTCTGGATGGATAGAATGGCACTTTTTTGTGTCCATGATCATCAGCGGTGGAATGGCCGGGGTATGATACAGACAACTGCTGTATCCTGCGCGTTCAACCCCCTCCCCTCTTATCTCCGGGAGCAAATCGTGCACTAGGGTGGGATAGCCTCATCGATATGTCTAACGGTATGCATTCTTCTTCTCTGGATGGATGGATATGCAGGGTCCTGTCCCGACTACAAGTGCACTGTGTGAGCTAGCCATACCCCAAGTAGAGGGGGAAGGGGGTGTTTCAAACATTCAATCGTTCATCCATTAATGGGGGGTATGATACGAGGAGGGGAGAGGAGCCGATGGTTCTTCCGGCCCCACTGGTTTCTGAACGGGTACAGCTACCCACGAGGGAGTCCAGTGGGGCGGCACTTGGGAACTTGTGAAAGGTTGAGGATGGTTGGTCAAGAGGGGTATGATACTTGCTCGGGATTATGGGGCAAAGGGGGTGGATAGTGAGGCGGCACGACTCATGCCCTTCTTTTTTCGTGCAAGAGGAATTGAGTAGGGTGGGGAAGCTGGAATATGAGTTTCCCAATGGACATCTGCCCACTCCCAGAATATCATTGCAGGCTCACCATATGATACCCAGAACATATCATACCCCAAAACCAAAAAGCAAACGGCAGGAAAACACCTCAAAGGCCTGTTCCTGTAAACACAACCCCGCCTCGCCCTTCCGAAAAAAAAAGAACCCCTCCAAAAAAAAGCGTGCTTGCCAGCCCCGCACCCACGCATAATCACTTTCCATCACTCGCATCTAAATTATCCAATCCAGCCACAGCACTACGCCAAGCCATGGCAGACGGAGAGAGTGTGTGGAGAACTCAAAGTGTCCAGAATACCCACGGCACAAGTACCGGTAGTCTGCTGTACTCGTACCAAGACAGAGCCAAGACCCGCTGAAACCTCGCAAATTGTGTGAATCCCTGCAGCCGATCATTTCGACCCCTGGCGTCGATCCGGACTCCAATTGGCGATAATTTCCTGTGCGAGGTAAGCCACGATACGATACGATGCGATGGAGAGGTTGCTCGTCCGGTTTTGGTTGTGGAAAGAAAAGAAAAAAAAGGACCCGAGCGAAAAAAACCTGACGGAGGTTTTGCAAAAAGTCGCGACGTTCCCTCCGCGGCAGGTTTTCAAAATCTTTGTACAGTATGCGCGCTTGGATGTTCTTTTTTTTTTTTTTTTTTTTTTTTTGCCCTTCCCTCTCGCCTCGCAACGAGTTATCGTTATCGTGCGGCGGGGTATGATACTGTATGGCATGTCTGTATCGGACTTGTCCGTGAGGGCTGGACTGTCGGGCGTGCAAGTGCTAGCACTGGATACGGAACGGCACAAGTGGGAGCTCCCTTCGATGCGCCGTATCATCCCACCAGCGGATTGTTTCCCATCTTCGCCCAAAAGCCATATGCTGGCGCTGTGGGTGTCATGGGCGCAGTGGGCATTGTGGGTAGGAGGGCGAAGGGGCGCAGCGGATCTCGAGCTAGAGCTTTTAGTGACAGCCACCAGAAAAAGCTCGTGAAAATGTGCTAGGTTCGGGCTGACCGGTAGGGATAACGCTGTGCGGTACGGAGGGGGCCGCCCTTATCGGGGAGTTTCCAACTTTGTGTCCCCCCTCCCCCTCACTCCTCGGGCCAGGGTGGAGGATGGCTTGACATGGCAGCTGGGTGGCAAAGAGCAAAAGGACAGTCGGAGAGTCTTAAGTTAATCACTTTAGGTTGACATGACAAATTTTTCCTCTTTCCCACTCCAATAAGTTACTATGTTCTGTTCCTCCAGTCCACAGAGCACCAAGGGAACTAAATTTAAATCGCAACCTCGCCCGCATTATTGATATCGGAGCAAACAAAGTACATAATGCCTAAAAGCTATCCTTGAACCCGTAACAAATCAAACAAAGCTGGTCCTAATAATACCGTCAAAAGAAGGATAGAATAGAAATGGACGAAACGAGTTAAGACAAGAACGGAGAAGATACAAGTATCTCCCAGTCAGTGGGCAGAACAATAATAAGATATCGAGAAGGTAGAACCAGATACTATTAAAACAAAAGAAAAAAAATTTGTCCCCCACAGCACCCATACGGCTCATTGTTTCCTTTTCCACATACACCCTTTTCCCCAGCATTCGTTCTTGTGCAGAAAACCCAAACCCTTGTAGAGGAATCCCATAAGAAGAGAGAAAGAATAGCAAATCTAAAGCCTTTCCTGTAATAGATTACCACCCCGCCATGAACTATGCCGTCAGGAGTCGGAAGAAGTGACAGAGGGAAATGATACCAAATACTAAATTCGCCCACGAAGTTGGGACAAGGTAGGGAACGGGGAAACAAAGAGCGTGACAGGGGGGGATGGAGAACCCATCAAACAACGTTGGCCAGCACCGAGGCATCGCCCCCGGCAGCTTCCACAGCCGCCGCCGCAGCAGCAGCGAGTCTTCTTCTCTTTTCTGTAGCTTCCCGTTCTCTTCTGGCCTTAGTTTTGGAAGACCCGCTTGGCGCTACCCCATTAAGAATTCGTGTCTTGTCTTGAGGCGTGTAGTTGACAAAGGCCATTTCTGTGTCTCCCGGTATACACAGGGCCGGTGGGGCCCCCGATTTTACCTGCGAACGTATTGACCCTGTGCTCGCTTTCCTTCGCGAGGATGGGCCGGGTCGTGATGGCTTTAGCTTCGGTGGTTTCGATGCTGCCAGAGCTGCTGCCGCCGCCACCGCCGCCGTAACAGGTGGTGAACCACTTCGACCGATGGACGGAGTGGATGGATAACCAATTTCTGGCGTGGGCATTGCAGAGGGGAAATAAAAGTCTGGAGATTCGGGAGGGGAAGGGATTGGGGATTCCGTACTGTGAGGATAGATGCCACTATCCTCATCGTCGAAGGTTGGCGAAGGGGGCCGGTGGATATAAAGTAAGCTACCGTAAGGGGAATGACGAGAACTACTATCGTTGCATCTTCCAACCGTCGAGGCAGATTCTTCCTCATTAGATTGGGACTGGAGCATGCTCAGTCTTCGGATATCGACCTTGGGAGTCTCACCCCACCATGACTCGGACGTCTCGGTCTTGCTCGTGGGCGCACCCGAAGACATTGGCAGTTCGAATGAGTGTTGGGTGAGGGTGTTGTGTATCCAGGGGTTATAGTCGATCGATAGTCCGCGGGTCGCCGGTTGCTCATAGAACATAGCGGTATCCGTGGGAGCGCTTGACCGGCGGATCGAGTAGTGGAGGGCCTGCTGCTCATTTATGGTCGAAGGTGTCGACAAGGAGGACATGCTGTGTGGACGGGCTAATGTCACTGGATCGTTGCTGTAGGGGGACGACAGGTTCTCAGCTGACAGACTGAAAGGATTCTTGATCGAGCAATCCGAGCGGGAACTCAAGGGTCTCTGTGATATATCTGAGGGAGCGTATCTAGGGGTGTTGCTTAGGGGTTGTGGCGAAGAGTAAGCAAGAATCTCGTCGAAACCTAAGCCGCCATCGTTGGGAGTTGTGGCTGCCGTCGAACATGAAGTGGCGGTGGAGGGGGGAGCAGGGGAGTGGGTGGACGGAGAGTTGGTTGTATTGGTGGTGTGATGCGGGTGTAGCTGCTGGGGAGCGTCCCCCAGTCTTGTGGCAGTCGTCATTGACATTGACAAATAAGCTCTCCTGGCTTGGTGCAGATCACGGCTTTTGCGGCGCCGAAGGGAACGAAATCGCTTTTCAACGGGATCAGTGGGCAAAACTCCAGCGTTGGCACCTATAATCGACTCTCTATGAGAAAGGGAAGTGGAGGAGTGTGGCGTAGGGGTGCTGATCCCTGAAGTCGATGCGCTGCCGTTCGATTCTGGTATTAAAGTCGGGCTCGCAGGAGTGGCAACGGATGCAGAAGTAGGGGTAGGAAGAGATGCGGTAGGAGTAGTCGGTGCTGTAGACTCGAGTTCGCAATCCCAGCCAGGATCTCCCTCGGAACATGCACAAGCACGAGCAGAAGCAGAAGAGGAGGGGGAAGGAGTAGTGGAAGAAGCACAAAGGCAATTTAGACGGTAAGAAGGGGGTTTCATGGGCTTCTGGCCAGACAGGGAGTTGTCCTTATAGAGGGCAGAGGTGTGCATGTGCATGATTTTCGTTGGTGCTGAGTGAGTGGCCCGAAGTGGAAGAGGCGGGGCCGCCATTTTTGGTGGAGTGTGTAGTGAGGATGGCAGTGTGAGTGTGGAGAGTGGGAGCGAAGGATTTTGACCTTGCAAGAGCTGGTTTGGTTGGACGGCATTATTTGTATCTGCATTAGACGGCTTCTCCAGCCCATCTATAGCATAAAGCCGTAGAGCAGGCGAATTTTGCCAAGATCTCCTTGCATACTGATCGTTCGGACCTGCAGCAAATGGCTTCGCAGTCGGAGTGGTACTGGTGCTGACAGTCCTCCCGGTAATGCTGTCTGTCCGGGGCTTGTTGCTACAGCTGCTCTTCCTAACATTATTGCTACTCTTACTAGTGTCGTCCCCCCTCATGTTGGACTTGCTGCTGCTCCTTTGCCCCTCCGTACTAGTGTCTGGCCTAATGACTCCCTTGGTATTGTCCTTGCCACTCCCGCACAGCCTTGCCCCTCCCTCCATCCATCTTCCACTTTCATAAAATGGCCCAGACGTCGTTCTAGTAGGGGGGCCATCACCTTCCCCGATCATCGCAATTTTCCCCTCAAACTCATTACCACCATCCCCACATCTCCCAAAACCGACCTCTTCTCTCCTTCCGTGAGAATTCAGCACAAAATCGAATAATTCGTCGTATTGCACATCTTCAGTGAAAAGCCGCACTGCGTCAAAGTCGTTGCCGCCGTTTTCGGAAACATGCATATCGTCTGGCATCCACATACTTTTTCTTGATGAAAAAAAAAAAAAAACTCCCCCTTGTTCTCCCTGAACCTCTTGATTTGATTTGAGGGAGCCTTAATCCCCCCCCCCCCAAGCCCCACGTTGCCTTGGTTGCGATCGAAACTTTAAAAACTCGCGATGGTCGATTCGGTGGCAGCGTATCACGCTTCTTAGTGCTCGAACCGTTACACTTGAGCGGTGGAACCAATAACCGTAGATAGCTAGCTGCTTGGGTAAAAAAGAAAAAAGAAAGAAAAAAAAGTACGGTAATTGACTACAACGCCCCAACCCCCCAAGGTTGCTCAGCGGATAGAGAAGGGGTGGAAGGGCTGAGAGAGTGTGGAGAGAGAAAGGCAGATTGAGCTTAATAGAAAGGCTTGAGAGGGTGTGAAGGAGAAAAGGATAAGAAACTCTCGGAGAAAAACCGAGTTGCAAGTTATTGACCAAGCACAGTCCCGAGGTTGAGACAGAGATACCAGTAGGTAACAAGCACTCCTCTTAATAACTTTCAGAAACGAAAGGAATCCAAATATCCCAAGAGATTTTTCCAAATTCTAGTACGAAATAAGGTAAAAAAAAATTGTGATTATTCGGGGAAGGAGACCAAAGGAAATGATGCTTCTTATCCCTGCATTTGGCCCGCAGGATCACCAGCCTCTTTGCTTCCCTGGCTTCTTACCTATCCATCAGCTCACGATCACCCGGTAAGAAAAATTAGATGTCCGCCGTGTGCAAGCGTGACCAGCCAGCCATCCCAGATACCAGAGCGAAAAATCACAACATCCACCGACAAGTATTAAGGCTCAAGTTTTGTGGAGGCGTCAAACCCTCATGGTTACCCAACCACTGATGCGAGTCCAGGCATCACCAAAGATGCTCGTTGACGGCTTGCGAATGAATGGCCCACATTCCAAATCCACAACCGGTCATCGCCGCATACCCCAGCATAACCTCAAATTCCGGAAGCCGAAACCAACGGTTCTGCATTCCGCTTGCCTAAGCGAAACCCCCAGGCAAAGCTTGTTTTGATTAGCGGTAAATAGCGTGGACAAGTAAATCCTCAAAACCCTGTCCCCAGCCTGCTGATCCGCTGAGGAGCAAGACAACAAAAGAAATTCTCGCTATCACCGTATCGATCTGCTGCTCGTACATCCTCCTTGATCAGTAAAAAGACCCGGAATGTCTCGCACGTTCAGACTACGAACTGGTGCTACCCACTTTTAAATGCTTCGGATCCCTTTTCAATCACATAATCAAAGAAATGCAGAATGCTTCCCCGAGATGCATCCGAATAATAACATTATGCTTGTATCCTAAACGGGTATATCATGTCCGGTCCCATGCGGAGAGGCCAGAAATCTTCGGAGCAGCACCTCAAAACGGGGCGCAGAACGGCGCGCGGATTAAACTTTTTGACTCTTTGGTATCGACTTCGTGGAGCAGGATACAAATGCAGATTGTCTTGTTGAAAAGGGTAAACTACGGGCCAGTTGTTTTTGTGATGGAATACAGTGTCCGTTGCGCAACCGGTAATGCCTAATATATCTACTGCTGGAGCAGTACCGCAGGCTTAGGATCAGTGTGACGGGCGACCCATTATTGAAAACATGGACGACAACGGCGCTCACCTAGGTCAAAAGGACCTTTCAACGGCCAAGAGTAAATCGCCTCAGCCCTCAAATTCTCTTTTACTGAAGACAAAGAAAATAAAAGGAGGCGTAGCACGAGGGGCCCAGTAGCCTACCTACCTCAGAATCCCCGACTGCTCTCCGGAATGGTGGTCGGTTCGGCCCAGCAGCCCACGAGGGGATTTTCATACCATACAACGGATAATATTTGCATTCACACTTGCAAATTTGAATGCAGCCTGCCAGCCCCTCAAATATCAAGAAATGGCGTGCAAGCCAGCAAAGGTAACACTCGCGGAAAGGAATTTCGCTCCATTTCCTAATAAATTCCCTAGTATCGGGTTGTCGAGGGTTCGCCGTGCGAGGGGACAAAAATCCTGTGAACCGCAAGTGAGAACGATCGACAAACAATGCAAGTTAAACCCACTCGCCCGATGCCATATCCATGGTGAGACGCACGCCGTCCAAATATGGGCAACAGTGGCAACAACATGGTGGAAGCCAATGGCGTTGGGCATCTGATGATAAGCCCCAGGGATCAGAAGACTGGTTTGGGTCAAATTGTCCACACACACGCTACACAAATGTATTATGATAGCACCTGCCCTAAAATCTACCAAAAGCAGCATTAGGGCTTCGTATTCGAAGGAAAGCAAGGCACTGGGAAGCGGATAGTCTGAGCGCCCATAAAGCCATGTGAAAACTTTCTCCACTCCCAAAACGTGGGATTCACGTGGGGCCCGAAGGTATCTACGGGCACGCCATCAATATTTGCCGGGAGCACCATGCCCCGTTCGAAGTGAGGAGATGCACTGTACGCTCGGAACCGACAAACGCCAGTGAATGTGGAAACGATGATAACGAAAGCCAACCGAAGCCTATGGATGATTTGGTTCGAAACACCACTGTGGCTGAACTGAAAATTGGGCCTTCGGTCACGTTCCCTCGAGGGGAGCGCTAACTATCTTTCCCCCCTCAAGTTATCGATACAATCAGAGTTGATAATGAGGGTGCGGTATCTTTCTGTGCGTAACGGGCCGGAGCTCTCTATTATTAATAACCTCAATGAAAAGTCTGCAAGGGACCCAAGATTGAAGCGGAACCCGGGTTCCACCGAAAAGCCTCAGCTAATGGCCAAAAACAGTCCGATAGGGGCGGTTCTGGAAATGCTCTCCATCGGGGTTGCCCACGTTGGGCCGATATGGCTAGCACCCGGTCAATAACAAATCACCCAGTCCACGAGGTCCACAGAAGAGAAGCCCCGCCCTTTCTCCCACAAACCAAAAAGGGGATAGTCGCAAAAATACAATTCTTGAGGTCCTTAGCTTAGAGATCGTCAGACAAGCCAAGGGAAATATCTGGCGGATGGTAATGGGCAATCAAACGCTTAAGACGACACAAATGCGCCTCATCTCCTAGTCTAATGATGATGATGCAATTTTATAGCTGGTAGGAATTGGAAGACTCAAAGCAATGCTACGAGGTGGAAGTAAAGTCGTCTTAATTCTGGAATGGGCGTTTCCCGCTGAAGGTCTTTGATTTGCTGTCCGATCCCCGAACATGGGGTATGAAGTGAGCTGCCGAACCGCACTGTCAGGAACTATGATATCTCTGCGTACAGGTTGAGCGGGGGTTAAGGTCGCAAACCAAGAGGATGATACAATCTTCACTAATCCAATTCTATAGCATCTCTGATGACGCCTCCCCCCAGGCACCTGTCCCCGAACCACAGCGCTGCGCTTTGTCCAGGAGCGATAGCCATCGCTGGACTGTCGAAGATAATCCTCAGCTCGGGGGGCTCATACTCTTCAAAGCATGATTGGCGCCCAGATCCCCCAGATTGTTCCACGACAGAAACCTTTAAGGGGATTTGTCTGTGTCTGAATTGAGCTACCAAACCTCCCCTACTGGAAGCTGACTGTTCTTGAACTATATCTGCAGCATCGTCCCCTAGCCATCTCCATTTCTCAACAACCATTCCCTTCCCATATAACCTAGCGTTATCCAGGCCTCTCACGATCTCCAAAGTATTGAGTTGTCTATTCTTCCCAGAAACGTACCATTTGCCTCGGTATTCTGGACTCCCCTGCGGTAATTGAAACCGGGCCCTTTCTCCTATAGTCGCATGCCAAAGCCCCGCATGCCTCCCCACAATGGCACCCTCCGATGCACATGTTCCCTTAGATTCGTTCTCCCCGGGATATTTCTTCGACGGTCCGATTATTACATCGCCCGGCTCTGGCTCAAGAAATTCCGACAAGAAACGGCGAAACCCAGTTTGCCCCTTCCCACCCGCAGGCTCCACGAAACAAAGCCCCATGCTTTCTGGGCGTTCGGTCTGTCCCGGACGCCACCCCGGTAGTAAAAGCTCGCGGGCGAGGGATTTAACGGCTGGCTTGGAGAGTCTGTAAGAACCTAGAGGAAATAGAAGTCGGGAAAGAACTTCTTGACGCAATGTCGATAAATAAAAGGTTTGATCCTTGTTTAAATCGATAGAACGGAGTAAGTGGGGGGCTTTAGTAGGGATATGATACAGGACGTGAGCGTAGTGGCCTGAGGGGATAAATCAGTAGTGCTCAATAATATACGGATGGAAATTGGGGAGAAGGGAAGGCGCAGAAATCATTTGTCTAGACCCAGCGAGACACACTCACCAGTTGCCAACCACCACTTGCTCTCCCTTTCCGTCACCTCCCCGCCCCTCCTGTGGAATTCATCCCTCAACCTCTTGATAACAGCGCCGAATTTGATGTGACGATTACACCCAACGTCCGGATTTGGGGTTTTTCCGCATCGGTACATATCGAGCATAGGAAGGAATACTTCGCACCAGTACTCCTTTTCAAAGTTCATATATATGGGCTCAGACAAACCCAGAGCTCTGCAGACATCCTTGACGTCATTGTATTCCCTCTCTGTGCATCTCAGGGATCCTCGGTTGGATTGTGGTCGAACCAAGGTAGGATCTCGTTGAGCTCTGCCGAACGCCGATGGCGGTGGTGGGAGAGGGTCCGGACCGGCGGAGGGGGACCAATTAGCCATGTAAAACGGTAACAGGTTTTCCCGTGGATGCTCGGAGCGTAGCAAGAGTGCAGCTGCTACAGAGGAATCAACCCCAGAAGACATGGCAATGAAAACTATAACGAATAGTCCATCAGTCGATAGTCCAAACAGCTGAAAGGTGTCGATCATAAATGTCCCAATCAGGACAGGCCATCTATAATACCGTACTTTTATCCCGAGGCGAAACATCAGGTTCCGAATAATCAGCGGTGGAAAGGGTTCGAAGGTGCTGTCGTTGGATGGGTGCGGCGAAGAGAGGAGTCTGCACCGATACCGGTATTCGCGGTGTCAGGTTCGGGCGGAAGAGCCTCAACGAGGTGCGAATGAGTGTTTGACCGTCCATCTGTGGCGAGCAGCGATGTTATCACTCTGCGGTACCGGACCGGACCCGTATCACCGAATACCCGCACGCGTATCAAAGTACTTGTACCGCAGCCAAATTGGGGGAGAAGGGGGCCAATAACCAGTACCGCAAGAATTACTCGTACAGCACCGATACGACAGCACACCGTATCGCGTCTATAGTACGATAGGTTACGGGGTCCCGGAGTTGCACTCCTGTTAGAGGGGGATATTTGACATTCTGAAGTTTAAACTGTGGTACCGGTATGGTACAAATAGTGTTTCGGCCGTTTTTGATTAAATTTTCTTTTCTTTTTCTTTCTTTTCCATCCATTGAATAGAGTGGGGCGCATGGCAAAGGGTCAGCTCTGTGGCGCAGCGCCATCAGCCACCCTCAGGCCAGATTCGACGGATCCAACCACACCCTCCAAAGCTGTGCCGAGTGGGCAAAAGTGTCAAGGCCAGGCCCCCCCGGATGTGCGTCATGGTCCTCTCCCACACACTCTTGCCCTGTAAATTTGGGCGAAAGGAGGTCCCATAATTGGAATGACTAAGAATTTGGTGGCGGGTGAACTCATGCTCCTTCTCTTCCACCCCCAAAAACTTTGGCCCCTCCTGGAACCTTTCATCTTCTCCTCCCCTCTAACATTGCCTCTCCCCCCAAAAGAAACTCCCCCCCATTTTTTATCAACCGTGAATTCATCTTGCCGAAAGAGGGGGAAATATCGACTCGTCCCCGCTCAAATAGCGGGAAAAGAAACAAGAGACAAGAAGGATAAATCTGGATGTCGGAAAGGGTACTTGCTTCGTGATTCTTCTCCCTACTCTATCATCGCTCCAAGTCTTCCTGAGCTTTTTTCTCGTGTGTTTGTAAGAACGATCGCGGAGTTCTCTCTCAAAGACGCGACACAAAGCAAGCTGCAAAGCCAACAAGTGGGCAAGCAAACAAAAAAGGCGAAAAGGAAAGGGGGAACAAAAACAACCAACTCTTCAAGCTGAAAAAGCGAGAGGGGAAGACCGATATCCGATCAACGCCCTCTTATTTTTTTTCTCATCCATCCCCTCCCTTCCCCTTTCCCTGTTTCTTTTCTCTCTGAACGATACCACCGTGAAGAAGCAACGCGAGTTTTTTTCGTCGGGCTTGTTCATCATCTTCCGACCACAAAGTCCTGCGCAGCACGCAGGAGAGATAGGTCGCAAATTTGTCCTAAAAAAGGTAGTACCTCTACGGTCGCCGTATTTGGTAATTTCATGCGTTAACCTTCCATTTTTGAAAGTTATCTACCCGATTAGTACTAGCGTTATCTGCATAGTCGCGACCTTTCTGCAACCCTCCAAACACGAGGTTTCTTTCTTTTTTCCCTTCTCTCTTTTTTTTTCTCTATTTATTTTTATTTATTTTTTCTTGCTTCCTCTGAAAAAGAAAAATAAGGCACCAGATAATAGAACCGATAATGGACACCGCGGATATCAGTAATTCTGGCGGGCTGGTAGGTGCGGCTCTTCACGGAGGAGTGGCCGACAGTATGGTTCAGGGTCAGCCTTCTTCCTCGCAGGCTGAGTTTGTGCCCTACCAACACCAATTGGTTTTCGGCCCTGGTACCAACGAATACTCCGCCATTCCAGAATCATTTCCACATACAGAATACAATTCATATCCATCTTCCGAAGCATGGAATGCTCCTTCGCAGCCTGCACATCAACAACACGCTCAGCATTATACGTCCCTCGATCCAATGTCCCACTTTGCTCCTCCGCCTCATACCTTCCCTCAGCAGTTTGCACCCCATAGCTTTCCAACGAACCAGCATCCCTTTGCAACTACTAGCGCTGTCACAACAGCCTCTCCTCAAACTGCAACAGGTGCGCTCTCGACTCCTCCCACTGCTGTGGTGGATGATGCTTGGAGGGAATATTCTCCCGCCGCTGTCACAACAGCTGCAAACGGTACTCGCGGTGCAACTAATACCATGTCAGCTTCAATTGCAGCTACACGCACTAAGAAGCCGCACAAATCTCCAAGCGCACAGCAGAGCTTTGGGCCGAATGTTGTACGAGGCATAGCGACCCCAACTCCAAACGCTGCAGCCGCAATGACCTCAACTACAAATGTAACGACTTCAACCGCAAAAACGAATGAGGGGATCCGTGTCAAAGGATGTCCTAACGTAACCATACGGTCGCTCCATGATCCGTCGCTGCAGCTCCCCCCGGACTTTATAAGTATCTCCTCACTCCGCAGCAATCCCCTTCCCGATCATCGACCTTCTAACTTTCTCACAGAACTGATATCGAGTGTCGGGCTCGGAAACGAGCCGTCAGCATCGGTAGGCCCACCAAAAAAGAACCAGAAAGTAGCCAGTGCTGCGAGCGCTGCGAAAGCTCAACCTGTTAAAACAGCCGCGCCCCCTAAACCTAAGCTTCCCGAAGATCCTGCTGAGAAGGTTAGGTATCAGATTGAGGAGGCATTGGAATGCGATGGAGACGATGATATTGAAGACATCCGTAAAGCATCCAAACAGGTTTGGGATGTAATCATCGGGATACGACCCGAACAGTCTAAGCTGGTTGAAGTAGCTGTGCGCACAATTCTAAAGGTCGGGGATAATCAAATCTTGAGGGCCCTTGGGGAATCTATTCTATTCTCGATAAGACTGCGAAAGTGGATGACAACCGAGTGGAACAGAGATAGAAACAGTCCTACGGTCATTATGATACTAAAGGTAAGTTTCCCGTATATTCCGTCCACGTGGGGAGCACGTGCCCATCAACACATCTAACTCGCGTCTAGCTATTGTATAAGTTCTGCGTATCTGAGGAAGATCTTGAGCAATCATCATGGACCAAGGCGCTAAAAAGTATCGGGTCAAAGTCAGAGGATCAAAAAACAAAGGATATTTGCATGGCGATTACAAAGAGTGCTAGAGAGCGCTCTGCTAGGAAGGAGAGGGAAGAGAAAGCCAAAGGAGGGCAACAGAAGCCAGCATCATTAGCAGCCTCCTCTTCTTTACCCGATCGTACTAATGATAAAGAGAAGTCTTTGGGAAATGGGACAGCATCCAAGAGTGAGGCCATTAGTAATGTTAATGTTGGCATTAAGCGCAAGGGCGAGGACGACGCCAAAGTTGGTCAATATACTTTCAAGAAGATTGCTCTGGGTGAGGGAAAAACCCCCGCTGTGTCGGGCTCGCCAAATCCAAAGCCGAGTCTATCTACTGGTAACGCTACAAATGCAGCGACACCAGCCGCCGAAAAGAAATTGACTGCAAGTACCGCGTCTTCCACTAGCGCAAATGGTTCTTCTGCATCTGCCAAGCCGAAAACCACTACTTCCGGCTTCTTTAAGTCTCTCCAGGGCAACCGTCCAGCCGTTGTCAAGGCTCCCACAAAGTTCGTTGTTTCCCTCCCCTTTGGTTGCTTCGCGAGAAGCCCCCGTTTCAGGCCGACGATCTGCAATTATTAACATGTCACGTGACCTCATAGGCCCATTGAAAAGAAATCCACCCCCAACCCTGAATCTGCCCCGAGCACATTCACTAGTATTTTCGACCAACTTGTCCGCCAGCAAAAGGAAGGCTCTACCGGGCTAAGACCTGATTCCGATACAAAGAAACGTGAGGCCGATGAAGATCAAAACGGCTCCAACAAGAAGGTCAGAAAGAAGAAGACTGTCCGGTGGAAGACTGGGGAGGATCTTGCCAAGGTCAAGGTTATCGAGTGGGTTGAGCCGGAAGGGGAATACTATGGAGGCAGCAGTGGACATGAAAATCATGAATATGGAAATGCTAGGAACTTTGATGTTGAAGAGGGTAGGGAAGCGTTGGCCGCCCTCAAGAACCGAAACTTCTTGGAAGACGAGGAGGATCTGCTTGATTGGTATCATCCACTACGTGAGTGACCCTATTACACTCTGGGTAGGGTTTCGTTTGCATCTCTAACATCATCCAGCCATCGACTTTGGCGACCTCAATCATGTTTCCACCTCCGCAGATAACGCTATCAGTCGCGGAGGGAAGAAAGAGATCACCAGCGAGGAAGCTAAAATTCAGTCAATACGTGAACTTCAAACTTTGTCAGCGCTTTATAACTCTCCGGCCGCCATCCCATATTCCCCTCGGGAACCCGATTCCAACGGCGAGGGTTCTCAGGAATTCGATCAGCAACCAACCATCATTCCATTACCAGATCGTCTCAAGGTACGCATATTTTCTCAAATTTTATCAGCAACCGGCGTCCATCCCATACTGACTTGTTTTAAAGCCTCCAACAAGCCTTCAACCCACGTCAGACTCTGCTCAGTTGAATGCGCAACCCGCACCCGTTGTCGACATTTCATCCATACTCTCCGTTATCAGCAATCTTCAACAGCCAGCGCAGAGCCAAACTCAAGCTGCTGCCAATAGCATCCTAGCCCAGATGCAGGCGATTACCCAAACCCAACAGCAGCCTACCGCACCACCCTCTGTGCCATTCGCACAGCCTGTAGCTCAGCAAATTGCGCAGGCTGCACCTGCTCCAGCCCAACAACCTGATCTTAGCTCCATACTCATGGCACTTGGGCCTAACTCAGGTCAACAACAGCAGGCCGGTACTTCTTTGTTACAGAACCTTGTGCAGCAAGGCTCAGTTGCCCAAGGAGGTACCTCCGCTGCTCTGACTAATATTCTAGCACAGATGTCATCTAACCCAACAGCCTTCCCTTTTGGCCAAGCTATTTCAAACACATACGACACTCCTAATTCCCAAACATGGCCTCCATACGAACCGCAATTTCACCAACCATATGGGAGCACCTCCAGCCACTCCAACCAGTCTTCGTGGGCTACGGGTAGTGGAACCGATGAGTTTGGACGTACTCTACGTGAGGGTGACCGAGAAAAGGAGGGCAGGGGTGGCAAAGATGTCCGTGGTGCGTTGAGGGAAGCAACCGGCTGGGATGAGAGAAAATCAGAGGTCGAGCGTCACAACGGGAGTGGGAGTAGTGGGAATGAACCCCCTCGTGGAGGATGGAGTGGCGGTAAACATAAGAAGGTAAAGAGGCCCCGAAGATAATTCCTACGCATTCCCATAGCCCCCTGAATTACATAGCACACACCTATACCCAACTGCTTTCTTCGAACGGTAAACGGGAAGTTTGATCATTTATTTCTTTTTAAAAAAAGGAGGAAGGAAAAAGGTTGGCTTCAACAGGCATGTATGTTAGCATCGCCACGTCCTGCCTGGCCTTGTAGTCATGTCTAGCTAGAGTTGCGGATATTGCAGCACTTATTCCTCTTTTCCTTCTCCGAAAGGTTTGGGGGAAACAAAAGCCCTCTCTCTGGGAGAGTAACTACCGTTGAAAATTATTTCAACAGTAAGCACTCGATAGGAGGCAATTGAGCAAGAAAATCCTTGTCCAATGCCCCTTGAATCCCACCATAGTTCCGTCACAATTTAGCACCCTACGCCCTTTATCCTATTTTACTTCCCTTTTGACCCAATTTTTCTTCTTCTTTGTTTGTTCGTTTATTCCCACCTTGCCCTGAAAGAAAACAATTAAGTTAATACATTATTATCATTATAGGAAAAAAAACCTGCAAAGGTTTCCTGTCTCTTTTTCCAGAAAGGAAACTGCAAGAATGGCGATGGCTGCCGATTTTCTCACGACAAAGGAGGAGGTGGAGGAGGGGGCGGGGGTGGAAAACGACGAGGTGGGGGTGGAGGTGGAGGTGGAGGTGGAGGTGGCGGGGGAGGTGGAGGGGGCGGTGGCGGTGGCGGTGGTGCTGGAACCGCAGGATGGCCGTCATCTATGGAGATGGAATATTAACCATTTTCGGATATTCTGCGCAGCGAATCCTCTCCCGACAGAAACCCTTTTTATATCTGGCGAACTCCTGTCCTTCCTTCCTTACCAGGAGCAAAACGAAAATCCGTTATAATGTCAATACGTTCCGTTCATGCATGGCACCTTACCGGTTGATTCACCGATCCGAATCATTACTCAAGCCCCATATATCCTTTCCCCACCCTCTACTCTTTAACGCTGCACTGCTTCTATTAAATTTTGTTAATTGCTTTCCTTTGTTATTTCCCGTTACCAGACAAAAAAGTTCCTCCACAAGGTTGTAAAATAGCATACCGTAACGGCTTCCCTATTTATCTATTCATTTATTTATTTATTCTTTCCCTTTCCCTTTTCCGTTTCTCTTCCGGTATCTTACGTCTATTTCATCCAGTCCTGTATAGATTTATGTGGATTTTCCTTGTAGGAGTTTTAGGGATTGATTAATCGAGGAAATTGTTCCGTCCCTCTCCTGGGGACGTGGTTGCAGTCGCTGTATGATAATCCACCCATCCATCGTACTCATAGTAATAGGAGGAGGGCAAAGGGGAGGAGTGAATACACATTGTTTATATCCTATGGTTGTTCGATTGCAATATTTGGGCCCGGTATTAGGGGTACTTGTAGTTGTTGGACACGATGGGTAGGGGGGTGCCTTCTCTTTTTCCTTTTAGTTTGTTTTTACTAAGAGCTGTTATTCCTATGGGTTATCACAAATTTGATGGATCATTAATCTGACCTGTTGGTGACCCCAACAGACTCCTAAGGGACCGTTTGGTTTGCCATTGAAGCATATAAGTCCTTGACATACTACGAGTACTAGATAGTTAGCCCACGCAGAGTGCTCCTAACTTATCATACTGCAAGCTGTGTGAGGCCACACGTAACGAGCAGATGATGTCCTGGATCACCAAACCAGCTCCCCCGTGAAATGGGTGCCACCGTGCGCGAATAACGCATCATATTGGACTAGGAAATGGGCCAAACGCTGGATTCCCCCCCTCTTAATGCCGGACGCCAATTGAGATCTCCAGACTTGTACCTTTTCGGCGTGTTTTGACCGGTTCGCTACCCATTCTGACCCGCTACCCCGCCCAATGCCTTACCACGGGAGCACATCAATTTTCCCTGTCGGGAACCCTGGACTGAATAATGAGCTAGTACAGAACTTCCATGTTTTCCATTCCCCGCCCTTGCTCACCCATCCCTCCCCAACCTCGCTTTTCAGCCTTCAACTCCGGGGTTTGTTGGGACGGAACACGACATTTGGGTCTCAGCAGCCCTACAAAGCAGGGTGCGAGTACCGTACAGCATTACTACTAGTGTACTGTAAAGGCTCCTGGAGCCCGCTATCTTTGCCGCTCTGTGATCTCTGGGTTTGGCGACAAAGGCTCCCCGGAAGGATTAGCGTTTCTAAAAATAAAATAAAAAAAGGCAAGGTATAATATCGACCGACCCACTACGATCGAAGTGTTGGATCTCGTCAACTTGAACTCGTTTTCGCGATCCTGCTGAACTGCCAAACTAAACCCATCGTGTACCGACACTAATTACGGCAGATGATCTGGCACAGTAAGAGCTGGAATGACCGAACAGCACGCTAGGACGTTGGCGTTTCCTCCCCACTAAGCCCTGTTGTATACCGTATTTCATTTTTCATTTTTTCTTGTCTTGGTGGAGGGGTGAAAGCCAACTTTTTTCCCTCAGGGGTGATTCCCCCTTCATCCAAAGAGGGGAATTCTGGACGTCTTAGCTTGGGGCATCATGCAGTCATTCCAAGTGCTACTGCACAGTGCCCTAAGGGATCTCAAGGGTATTCACGGTATGGGAATGCAGATTCACGCCCGTAAGGGTCAAGCACCTGCGGTACAGTACTGCGGTAGGGATAAGACACAATACTGAAAGAAATCCTTACAGGTGCCATATGCCATCCACGGTCACGGATCAGCACTCGCTTGCCCTGTCTGATAAACCATCGGATATCGTCATCTAGATTACTACGAGTTGCATTCGAGATGTCTATATGTCGTAGTATGTCATCCACAAGAGAATCTCCATGCATTTAAGGGACCTGTTATCCCTCATAGGAATACAGGCCAATCACTTGCACCACTCGTACCTATACACTTTTACCTCCTCCTCACCCTCAATCCACACACAACATAAATAACAGGGCCAGCCGGGCCGGTGCTCCGGCACGGCTCGTGTCCCTAAGAGCCACTACCTTAGCGCGGCGTTTATCACCAAACACACCCGCACTAACCCCTCTTTATTCTATGATACCCGCTCAACAAAGCCTCGTTGGGGTAATGAAAGGTTGAAGCGGGATTCCGTTTCAAGTTACCGGCATGTTGAGAGAAGAGATGTTCCATCCCTGTCCCCACCGTAGTGTTGAGCCCCTACGGTCACAATGGATTAGGGTCGTGGATTCCCTGAATCGCCGGCGAGAGAAGGAGAGAGATACGGTATCGGTACAGTATTATCACAGCCTCTTGGTAAAACCCACAAGGGATTATTAAAAAAGGTCTAGATTGGTGTTTGCTTTTTCTTTTTCTTTTTCTTTCTTCCTCCATCGTCTCCCCTGCAGACAATCGATTCGTCGGATAGCGTGAAGGGGTCAGCAACCCAAGGCTAGTGGCTATTGGCCCCGCGAACCTCACCGTATGTCTCAAGTGATACGACACTTGGGGCAGGGATATTTCCTTTTCTCACCTTTTTTTTCACGACGGTCCAGATACGGTAGGTATCGAGGGTACAGTACGGCGCTCGTTGCCTTCCAATTTGTCCAGCTAGCCGAGACCCGGTACCGAGAACTGGAGAAGGTCGCGGGGGTTTACTAAACATTTGCAGGGGTGAGCGAAGGAAACGGAAAAATCTTCCCTTTAGAAGTGGGCGGATGGGTTCTGTGGATTGGCCACTTGGGATGGTGCTGGTATCTTAGATGGTGCACTCAAATATTGGAGTGCTTTGGTGATCTTGGGTACTGCTATTTAGGATGAATGCGGGCGGCAGCGAGGCTATTCTCGGAGGATTTTTTTTTTCCCCCTTCTTGATTGATAGGAAGAGCACTTGTATCTATCTATTGTACAAGGCGAGTATGTCTGGCAGCGCCGTACATGAGAAGATACAAATGCCGGGGGACAGGAAGTGGTCATAGGATCGTTCTGTGTGATTACCCCGCTAACATTTGATCTAGCTTACGGTGGGATTCATGTGCATGTTCGATGGGGAAACTCCAACTATATGATATCGTTGGTGATACCGATATGTGGGTCTGACAACCCGCCATCGGGCAAGATTCGTCTTGTGGGTCCACAGGATGCAATGTCTAAACCTGGATCCTCGGTACTTGAGTGGGATAAAGCTGCTCGCGAGGGGAGCTAACCAGATTCCATGAGGCGTTCTGCACGAAGCATCTAGTTGGGCCAAATAATAGGACCGAGATTGCCCGTGAGACTTTGGAGGAAGAATCCTTGCAAAACCCGCTCTCCTCAACATCTCCTTTCGATCGATGCTGGCCCCACCGGAAGCATAATCTCGACTCGCCCTTCTCCCTCAACCCCCGCGTGAGGACCCCGATTCACCCATCCGTCACAGTCGACCGGCAGTGGTGGCGAAAAGTGACATTAACGATACTGGACATGGGATTGTATTGCACACACCAAGGTTTGGATTTTTTTTCTCTTCCAGGATAATGATAAACACCCTGGTCTTTGAAATTTCTAGCCGAGTCGCGAGTGTTTTGGCAGAACACTTGTGCGACAATGTGGGCACCTTAAATGGACCTGTCCTGCCCATCGATGGGCATTCTGTAGCGAGAAGGATAAGTCGGCAAACTCGAGTACGGTGCTAGGTAAGAATGAAGACATGGGTGTTTTCGGATGTTTTTTTTTTGAAAGGCCACTAACGGAAATATAGCAGGGAAACAACCTCCGAAATCCCTAGAGAGAAAAAAGATGTCTTCACCGGGAGCGGTTCCAATGAGCCTCCCCGATGAGGGGAAAGAACTTGGAAGAGGAATCCAGGAATCGCGGGTCTCCGGAAGTGATCCGGACCTAATGGAGGATAGAGAGGGGGGCGAAGATGCGGTGCTTGATGCGAAAGTCGAGAGAATCTATAGGTGAGATCTCCGCGATACCCGGTAATGGAAACACCCTGTCTAGATCTTGGTGTTGACATCTTTGATAGAAAACTCGACCTCCGAATAGTACCTGGTGACCTCAAATCCACTCGTACAACGCGAAAGGGGACGAAGCTAACTTTTCATAGCGCTCTGGGTCCTCTACTTTTTGTGCGCAGCAATAAGGTCCAATGTCGGCCTCTCACTAACGATGAACTCCGAGAAAGGGCATTCCTTATCCGGTCGTCTAGGATTAACCCCTCACGAGATCAGTACGGGTCTCGCACTCTTCTACGTTTGCTATGTCCTTTTCGATCTACCGGCGAATCTGATAATGACAAGGCTGAGCCCGCACGTCTGGATGTCAAGAATTGTCCTTGGTGTGGGAATTGTGGGTAGTTGTCACGCAGCTCTAAGCGCTGAATGGAACTTCTAGTAGGTCATCATCATATTTCCACCAAAATGGTTGGGAAAAAGGGCTAATACTGGATGGGCATAATAGTCTCCTTCGTGTTCTCTTGGGAATTGTGATCGCGGGCATGTGGCCCGGAATGGCCTACTACCTAACCCTATTCTACCCACCCTCGCGCACCGGAAAGCGCATAGGGCAGTACTTTACCGCGGCCCAAGTCTCCGCAGCGGTCGTGGGTCTTGTAAGCGCCGGGTTCCAAAAAATGGACGGTCTTGGTGGCCTAACGGGCTACGAATGGATGTTCCTGCTCTACGGTCTCGTGGCTATTATCGATGGAATAGTCATCCTCTGGTGGCTACCGGACAGACCGAAAGCCCCAGGGACACACGTCCAGCCAACCGGTTGGAGGCGCTATATCCCGGCCTCGCAGCCGGCACTCAGCGGCGAGGATGCGAGGATTCACTACGAGGACCTGACGAGGGTGTACCACAGCAGGCCGTGGGGCATGAGGGATATTGTCAAGATCTTGAGGGACTGGAGATTGTACCCATTGACACTCATGTACTTTGGGGTCGTCGGCGTCGGTATCGGCGTGCAGAACTTCGGAACGCTGATCATTCGAGCGACCAATCCCAAGTTAACTAGCGTTGAGCTGTCGCTGCTGTTCTCCCCGATTTGGGTTTGTGACCTTATCGCCATTCTGCTGGTCACGCCGATGAGCGACCGCTTCCATCATTACCGCGCTCTGTTCTTCAGTGTCCCCGTGTGCATCCAGATCTCTGGACTGCTGGTGACTACATTTGCCGGTGGTCCGGATAATCCGTGGCCGAGATATGTAGGCCTCTTGATGGTGGGGTTCGGATTAGGCCCTACAGTACCAATCTGCATGACATGGACAAGGTACCCCTACTTCGCGTTCACATATCCCACCTAAACTAACAAAACCCAGCGAGATCTTCCAACGCCGCCACGGCGAAGTTGGCGTAGCCGCTGCCTCGGCGTTAGTGTCTGGCTTGGGAAACCTTGGATCCGTAACAACTGTACTTTCCCCCCCCTCTTTCCTCCATATCCACCATACTAACCAACTGCAAGACCTACGCACTCTACACCGGCTGGGAGTCGGACAGTAAGAAAGGCCCACACCAGTACCGCAAGTCTAACCTGGTCATGATCGGGATCCTGTGCATGAGCATATTGTCCGCTATCACAATGGGTCTGTTGATGAAATTTGTGGACGGGAAGAAGACGCCGGAGCAGCAGGGTGCTGTCATGGACCGCGCGGCGAGGAGGGAGTTGAGGGGACAGAGGGGATTCGGGAAGGCTAAAGGTGGTAATTAAATTAGAGGTGGATTGGGGGCGGGGGATCAGGCCGTTATCGGAAGTACTCAGTCTTGGACGAGTAAGTTATGTGGGATGGAAGGGTTGTTTTTAGCAGAGGTAGTAAAGCGTAGATGATTGAATTGCTAATGTGTGATGTTGTGCGCACTATATGTACAGTAAATAGTGGGAAGTCGCGATTGGAGATGCGTGAGGGGTGAACAAAGTACCATTCATGCTCTTTGCGAAAATAAGCATAAAGCATGACATGAACACGACAACTATCCTATTAAAAGGTCCAACCCCTTGCATCCCACTCTCACTCCCACCACTTGTACTCACGTGCCCTGACAGCCCCACCAAAACAACCCACTCTCCCTTCCACCCATCGCCACCCATCGCCACTCACCGCCACCCCCACCTATATGAAAGCACCACCGACAGCACCAGTACAGTAATGACAGAAGCTGCATCTCCCGATATAGTAGTCAAATTAGCCCAAAAACCGCACCAACCCACCGGGAGCGAAACGAAGCGCGGTATTTCTAAAAAGGAGAGAATAGGGCTAAGGGCCGTACTCCGAGCGATGCTTTCGGTTTGGGATCCCGCTTTGGGTCGGTGCCGAGCGTCGTGAACCTCTTCCGCACGACCAGAATCCCGGCGATGCTGGAATCCTACAGAGCGAGCTGATCATTCCGCTACGCTCCACGGCCGGACTTAACTTAGCGGCAGTCTCCAGAGTGTGATGTGACGCATCGAGATTTTAGACTATAGCAGACGACCTTTACACTTTTGATAGACTCTATTCCAATCTTTCTTTCACGGCGATCAGTCTTGTCGGTTTGGTTACATGTCCGTAGGAAACCGCAATGGATAAATAGTTTCTAACTTGATCGGTTGACCGTCCATCAGCTCCTTCGCCAATACGAGTACCTGCAATAGAGAGTTTGCGCAGTGAGACCTAGGTGGTGTTAATATGTTAACAATAAGGCTTGGCCACCTAAGTTAGTTCTTTGGTCCCACCTGGTCAAGGTGTATCACAAAAACCCGAAAATGGGACCCGGAATTGAGGACCACAAACGCCCACTTGAACTGCACTTTTATGCCTCTATTCAGGTGTGATTTTGTAGCTGTTCTTCTCAAGGACAATCCTGAGGAGGGGAATTTCATGAAAGTTAAGAATTGGCTGATGGATTGACCTCTTAAATACATGGAATTTAAGAAAACTCAACAATTGTCGGGAGTGATGGGCTGTTCATGCTAGTGGCAACCCCTAGTGACATCGTTGATAACTCCCACTTAGGTCTGCCTGCGCGAACTCTCTAATGTCCTAACTCTACTAAGCTTCAATCCCCAGGAACGCTCCCTGGCTTTCGGATCTGTGAATCTGGGATGCGGGGATGGTTCAACCCCAACTTGTTACGATACAGAGGCGCACGAGTTGGAACCAAATGCTATTTTTTACTGCAAGATTTGTAAGAAGGAGGGGAGTCTCTGAATGGAAAGGTATGTACGGCGAGTGTAAAGAAAATAATGAATTCACGCTCAATAAATCTTTCGATTCTGTACTTTTGTATAATAGATTGATTCTGTGCGTGTGAAGGTCGGAAACTCGTCAAGTTCTTCAACGCCAAAAAGAAAAAAAGAAAAAAAAAACTAGCAATTCGTTCATAATTTCCGAGATGAAAACGAATAAAACAGGCACCTCCCGTCTATTCACAAGTTCGGGAAAGCAGCAGGGGTACCTAAGTAGGAAAGATTGAGAATCATAGTTTGCAGTCCGGTGAGTTAGGTCGTGGATTCAGGAAACTTGTGTCTGGTCATGTTCGACTCCAGTTCATCCATTGGAAAGGCTTATATTGGCGGGATTGGGTCCGTTCTGGCATTAACCATCCAGTACTACATTAAGGAACGGAGTATGATACAGTACAGTATAACCAATCATCATATCACAACCTGGTCTACCGGTTCCGTTTGATTAGCACCTGCAGTGACCTCCGCCAACGAGTAAGCGAATCCACTTAAAGCTGCTGTTGGCATACGGTATTTATCGAAGAATCACCCTTGACAAAGAGATATCGGGTGGGGTCCTTAAATCATCTCAATCAGTATCATAACATGTCCCACAGCAGTCCTTTCTGATTGCTCTGATAAGCTATATCGAGCCACCTAGTCGATTGCGTCCACCTCCTACGGTAGCATCAGACGACACCACCAAAAAGGTTTTTGGAAAGGTACGGTACGGAAACCCTCAAGTCATGGCTCAACAAAATATCCATAGCCGCCAATTTACAACGAAACGAACGGCAGCACAAAGTTCAGTTACTATTATCTTTACTTTCACCAATTTCGCGAATGATCTGAACTCAGAGTGGAAGGCATGCAGCACCTAGTAGTAGCAGACCTGGGTATCGTCTCCGATGGGGGTGAGGGATTCGTATGTAAGCATTGTTAGTATCATATTCGGATCCGGATATCCATGAAGATGGTTCCGAAAGCGGTCGCGGTCATTATTACTTCTGGTTGACTTTCCGTCAATGCTGTTCTGAATCTTAAGCTTGGCAGGGAGTATGATATCGGCAATTTGTATAGAGATCGTTAGAAACGGGGTTAGGAGGATGTTATACCAGTCACAAAATATCTATATCATTCTACTTGACTATCTTTACATAATCTAATCCTAACAATCAGATGCTTGCACAATCTACTAGGAATGGTCTCTCACCTGTTCTTAAATATATACCTGTCTGTCACATGATGAGACTGTAAGCACTCGCCTATCTTAGTCTATATGCCAGCCCCTTCCGTTATATAAGGCACTCCACCCTTCCTGTTTTTCTAATCCACAACCATCCCTTCACTTTCCACACCAAATACATTTCAACACTACTCTCTGCAGACCATTTTTTCCAAACATTTCCAGTATGTGAAATCTATAGAGAATTATAATATGGATCATAGAGGTAATCTGCATCACACACCACCAACATTTGATTCACCCACCTCCCGATTCCTCATTCTACAACTACAAGTTACCAACCACAAATACAACAATTATTATAAACAGACTCAAAACAGACCACCGACGACAAAAAGCTATGCAAACAGAACTAATCAACTCTCAATCACATCAGGAACAACCTAAACCAAAGGTACCAAAAGAAGAAGATTCTACAACCAAGACTTCATACCGACTTCACCACTAACACTGCCAACCCCCCAGAACCAAACAAAACATTTCCACAAAGAGTAGAAAGAAGTCTATAAGGCAAGGCCAAGCTTTGAAGTTCCCCAATTGTAACAAAGCAGGTAAGTCAAACTCCCTGCTAGAGTTGTCCGGTAGTCAATATCTCACGCAGATAATATATTTATAAGCTGCACTAATCACATACTAACCGGGGTGACATCGGTAATAGGAGTTGTAGAACCCGCATGAAATATCATCGATTGGGGTTTCTTCGGTTCCGGGTGTGAGATATATTTTAATGCGCGAGGGATGGGGTGTTGGTTGGTGTCCAATGTACTATATTGTACGGATCACGGGATGGGGTGGTTGTTGACTGGGTTAAACGATTGTGTGGGGTATGGACATGGGATTTGATACTTCGACTGTGAGGGATATTGCTCTCTACTGTTTGAAGGGAGGATGATTTTCTACATCTTTTATGACAATATAATCAAAAATTTATTACCCAGACAAGGTACTCGAGTGATACTGCATGACTAATATCCAACGGCATGCCCATCGCCTCTCATATCGCTCCCGGCGGACCAAACTCTCGTTTTGCCATCGCCATCTCCCTCATCTAGCCGGCACCTAACTACCTGCGCTCGGCCAAAAATAGCCCTGTACCACCCCCTAACGACCGCAACCTCATGTCCCTTCCCTGCCAACCCCTCCATAACCCCGTAATCCCCCTCCCCCTCCCCCTCCGCCATCCCCTCCTCAACACTAACCCCCTCCGTCCTCGGATCGTACGGCTTCCCCACGCTGATCCTCGGTGCATCCACCGCTTGCTGCGGATTCATTCCCCAGACCAGCAAGTTCAGGAATACCTGCAGGTGACCTTGTGGCTGCATGAACCCGCCCATCACGCCAAAGACGGCGTCTAGGTTGTTGGCCGTGTCCGTGATGAGGGATGGTATGATGGTGTGGTAGGGCCGCTTGCACGGCGCCAGGACGTTCGGGTGTGTCGGGTGCAGGGAGAAACCGCAGCCGCGGTTCTGCAGGACAAAGCCGCAGTCCTTAGGGATTATGCCGGAGCCAAAGCCACCGTAATTGGAGCTGGGGAGGTCATTAGTCGGATGTTACATGGGGAGGCAAAAGGGGGAGGGGAGGACTTTATAAAGCTGCAGCCGTTGCCGTACTTATCCGTTACGGAAAAGTAGACTGTATCACAGGATTGGAATGCGGGAGTTCCGTGGGAGATGTTTTTATTGCGCTTGTCCGGGTCGAAGAGTTTTGCACGTTTCGCTAGGTATGCCTATTCATTCCTATCAGCCAGCCAGCCAACCAGCCATCCCGTCAAAACCCATCCCGCTGACAAAAAAAAACCCACTTTATCAATCAATCCCTCAGTTGGCACCTTCACCACCTTCGGATCCGCAATCCAGTGTCGCCCATCACTGAACGCGATGCGCAATACCTCAATAAGCACATGTAAGTACTCGGCAGAATTATGCTTCCAGTGGCATTCCTTCCCCTCGCCAAATTCAGGAACGACCCCCTCCTTCTGCAAGTTCTCCAAGATGCCCAGCGCCATGAGCGCTACGAGCCCCTGTCCGTTCGGTGTGCACTCCCAAAGCCTATACCCACCATACTCCATGAACACGGGCTGCACAATCTCACTCCCGGTCTCGCCGTGGCTCTTGAGGTCCTCCAGCTCCATGACCCCGCCGCGGGACTTTATCACATCGACAACGGCCTGCGCCACGCGCCCCTCGTAGAAGCCCTTCTTCCCGTGCCGGATGAGCTCACGGAAGGTCTCGGCAAGGTGCGGCATTCGGATTATTTCGCCTTCTCTAGGCGCGCGCGTTCCCCCCTTCAGAATTTCGGCATAATTTGGAGACGCAGCTTTCAGGTGCTCCACCTCCTGCGCCCACATCACACTGCTCATGAGCGATATCGGTGCGCCCTCTTCCGCTAGGCGAATGGCCTCTTCGAGCGCTCCTGCCAACCCGATTTTTCCGGATCCGAAGGTCTCGAGGACGTCCACCCACGCCGCCGCCGCGCCGGGAACAGTTACCGCGTGGACATGGGCCATGGGAATACCACCCTCGCCATCCGGTGGGGCATTCGCTGCCGGTTCGGGGGGCATGGAGAGGTCTGAGCGGGCCTTGCTTAAAGTCAGCGCTGCCGGTGCACGACCGGAGCCGTTGAGCCCGCGAATGGACTTCGTCGCCGCATCGTAGTAGAGGCAGAAGACATCGCCGCCAATGCCGGTGCTTGCGGGCTCTGTGACGTTTAGGGCTGCCGCGACAGCTACCGCTGCATCCTATGTTGCCATCAGCAGGAGGAAGGAGGAGGCGGGGAGGGGAGGGGAGGGGTACAGCAGCATTCCCCCCATCTCTAAGAATCTTAATACCGGCCTGTGCAGCCAACGGTTGCGAACAAGCCACAATCCCATTCGCGCTCTGCACCACCGAGCGTCGGGATGGAAAGACGCGGTAGGGATCGTCCATGCCCGCGGTTATCCGTTCGGTGACGGGGTCCGCTATCGTTGTATCTCTGTCCGTCGGCATGTTTTGCACAGTTTACCAATCAATTGAGACCGGGTGAGTTGGCGAGTGGGAAGTGGGATGGAAGACTCGGCATATATATACTCTGCCTTTCCCCTCGCCAGCTGTTCAGAATGAACACATCTAATCGAGCTCTTTGTGGTTATCCCATCACCCCCGCAAGGTAACCCAGAGCCAGGCTAGGTCCCAATAGGCCCGCCCCACCCCGGAAATCGCCGAGTGTGCAGTGCGGTTCAATCGACACGGCACACTTCAACCATTCGCATTAGCGGTATCATAAATAAAAACTCGCACGAGTGCCCGAGTGCAAGCACCGGTACCCAGATACCGCAATAACACGCAGGCAAGGTGAGCATGCATTGTGCAAGAAAGTGGCGAAGAAGAGAGGTTCGATCCGAAGTGAGGACTGCGCGGTGGTGGCGGAACTCAGGTCCGTTCTTGTTGGTCGGTTATAGACCATGCTGCCCCAAGCACCGGCAGGATGAATAGGAAAACCGTGCTCTCCAGGCCGCGAAGGATACCTTTCAAGGACAATTCATACCAATTCCGGATCCATCGCTTTCCCCTTCGAGCAGTGTTCTTCTGCAAGTTGAAAAAAACCCCGATCAACCGACGTTAGCCAAGCTATGTCATTTCCTCTACGGATACAAACCCACCTGAAGATGCACCAACACCGATGTCACTAGATCAGAGATTGGAAGGTCTTGAACATGGCTGCCTTTAGTGGAAAAGGTTCATGATACTCGTACTCTGCTCATATTTTCTGGCGTCAGCCCCTTACGAGCGGTATTTGCCCAGAAAAAGAACACTTTTCTCCCAAAAGATCATTTTACGATCCTTCTTATTCTTACTTGTATGTGCCACACTATACGATACTCGAGTAACCTATCGCATTGCAATGGCACAGCAACGATTCCGCTCGAGGAGCATTAAGGAAAAGGAAAAGTGAAAACGAAAGGGAAAAGGAGAAATAAAATAAAATAAAACAAAATAAACAAATCCAAACTATGCCCGTGTGATACAAATAGTACTCGAGTAGGTTTTACAAAAGAAATGATTCAATGTATGAATACAGGTACCGTACTGCGAGAAGGAACCAAGAAAGAAAAAAGGAAAACTCCGGATATCATACCATGCGGGAAAGAGCAAAAATAAACTTTTTTTCCTTCTGACTTTCGGAAGGGAAAAGGAAAGACCCTCTACATTCATTGTCCGAAATAAAATAACCGCGCCTGCGAGAAATGGTGGAAAGAAAGAAAGCGTTTCTATTATGACTACAGGTATCCATCCGAGAGGGAACAAGAAAGCAGTCCCTCTATACTCCGATCCCAAAGAGTCAACTTGATTTAATTGCTATAGATTGTCAGTGTCCATCCAATAGATCGAGATAAGGTAGGGAAGGGGCCTACTAAATCTCTATAGGGGCCAATTGATCAATGCTATAAAGCCAATTTCCACCCTCCTCCTCCCGAGATAGCCTGTTCAAAGAGACGGTTAGAGAATAGTCAACGACCGCGGGTGATAATAGAGAACATACCACTCGTGAGGCCAGACAACTAAATGCCCCTGGGTCATATTCAACAATTGCTCGGCAACGCCCTTCTCCAGCAACGGTTCACTAGCATGGAACTCCCTCCTTGAACTCCTGGTCGTGCCTCTTCTGCGCCTCTTAGTTGACCCTCCGTTGCCCAGATTTGTATTAGAGCTATAGCTAATACTTCCAACCCCACTGGACAAGAGATTAGGATCAAGCTTTTTTTCCGAGGAATCATGAGAATGGCTCGAATTTGGTGCACCTGCTGCGCTACTTGTCGTGGCCGTTGTAGCCGCCGTGTTCAACCTGCTCGATGCGAGGGAAGTACTCCGTGGTCTATTGCCTTGGTCGATAGGCAGATGTTCCGACTTTTCCCCCATGGGATCAACACCCGTGACCCGGTTCAGCTCATCTTGGCTTTGTACGGTGGGTATGGTCCAATCCTTTATATTTCCGTGGGGGAGATGGGGATTGCAGCCATGAACAGCTGCACCAACCTTCTCCCCAATCTTGTCTCCAAGGGCGCCCATTTTCTCTCCAGGGACTGCCATAGCAGCTGCTGCTACATAAGGCAAGTCTGCCCCCGCCGGACCAGACTTCCCGGGTGCCTCTTGCTGCCTTCGCATCTTGCTCTTGTCAACACCCTGGCTCTGAGAAAATCGCTCGCCATATGCTGCGTATTCCTTATACGCCGCCCAGGTTTTAACCTCGTTATCTGGCATACATCTAAATACCTGTCGATAGATCTTGGTATTGTTCTGCGCACATGTGTTCCAGACGCCCTGATAGAAATTCTCGTTCAAAGGGTCCATAAACATGTCCGGCTCAACCTTGGGCATCTCCATCGTGTCCAGGAGAGGAATAGGGGGGCCATCTCCAGGTATTGAAACCGGTCGAGTGGCAAAAGGTCCACCAATGTCCTGGTCGCTAGTAACGGGGAGAGGTGGAAGTTGTGATAATTGGGAATGCCCAAACTCCAGAGAGTTCATTCTCCCGGGTCCAGGTGGAGGGGGCAAACCCACATTCCCCGGTCCGTCCGGCGACGAAGCCCTACTCGATGATATCGCAGAATTCCTGGGGTGGGAAGAAGCAGGACTAGACAGATTTGTAGGGGAGATATTTTGACGATTACCCTCGGTCGGAGATTTCGCTTCGGCTGACGGTCTAGGAATGGCCGAGGTTGGGGACCTGGCAGCGACGGGCGGAGGGTTAACTGGCGTTCTTACCTCTCCAGAGGCCTTCTCGTTTACCGTCGAAGGAACCCCCCATCCTGCGTTTGCATGCATATTATCGGGCCCGTATCCCCTGACATCGTTACGATGCTCCTGATTTCCGGTGACCCTATTATCCGTAGTCCCTCGTTTTCTAGTCTTGAGGTGGGGATTGTTCTCTTGCTCCCAGTCAACATCGTGATTGAAACTCCTCAACTCCTCCTGCCGGAGCACCGCCTGATCTTCCAACGTCAACTGAGATGTAGCCATAGCAATAGAGCTATTCTTCCCCTGATGCTGTTGTGGGGATTTCTCATCGACACCACCACCCTGGTTAGACCATTCCTGTATCTGCTCTTCCCATTCATCATCCTTGAGGTCAGACTCAACATTGTGCTCACAGGCCATAAGCTCATCGACATCTATCCCCAGATGCTCTCTCATGAGCCTCAACCGAAGCGTATGCGGGAACTTTCCAACCCTGAAAGGCTTCCCAGCCATAGACGACATGACAGTGTCCGTATCTCTGATAATTGCAGCCACTTCCGAATCCCTGTACCCCAGCATGGACCTCTCGTTGATGTTTGCGGAACCGATGATAGCAATACGGTCATCTACCACCATACACTTGGCATGAATATATAACTGTTCGGTTACAAGCGCCTTTTCGGGTCCAATTTTTCCCCAATTCCTAAGACCAAAGAACTGGATGAATTCCTCGGGTTCAATCCCATGCGCCCTTAAACGTCCAAAAATCGAGTATTCACCCCTAGAAATACTTCTGTACTGACACTGCATGATCAATCGGACACTGGTTCCGTCCTGGGCATCTACAGTGTTCTGGAAGCCCGGCATGAGAGGGATGATGACGATAGCCCTCCAATCTTCGTCGTTTTTATACGCGCGAACAATTCTCTCGACAAGGGCGTCGCCAATCTTGTTCTCAATCTTCCTTCCCTCCCACTCGGTAGAAGTAATAAAGAACTGGTTCTCAATGTAGACAAAATGCTCTGAAAGCTCAATCGATTTAATGTAAGCATTCATGATACTACACTCAGTAGTAGACGGGGTTCCAAGCGACCAGGAAGATGCCGATCGGAGAATCTGTACCTCGCAGGTTCCATCAATCCCCAGAGACTCAAGCTCGGCTTGTGTGAAATCGGGCGGTGGGAGTAGTACGGGAGTCGGTCGTGAAGGTGTCCTCTGACGCAGGAGATAATTCCACCTCTGAACAAAGTGCCTGGTGAGATCACGGGCTGGCTGTCCGACCACCTGCATATGTATATCATGCCACGGCATCCTCGGAACCCTAGACCGATCATACATCTCGTCATAAGGCTTATCCAGCGCATAGAAATCCTGAACCCTAGGATTAGAGTAATCCTTCCCGGGCCACAGTTGGAAATTATCCGGGTCTGCCTTGCTGTTGCCCTCTTCGAATCCAGTCGGTCTGTCGTCAACCAAGGAGTGTTGGGGTGTGTCCCATCGACCAAAGCACAAATCTATGCCACCCAAAAAGGCAACCATATGATCCACAATTAGAATCTTCTCATGATGAGCCCAGAAGAAGGTGGCCTGTCGAATCTGGTTCGGTGAGCGCTGAACAAAGACATTAGGATGAAGGTCGAGAAGGGAGTATTTAGAGTAGGTGGAGTCAATCGGGATAGCAGCCCCGATATTACGATAGATGATAACGAAAATCTTAACACCTTCCTGGGCTTTCCGTTGAAGAAGTCGATCTAACCGCCATTTTTGTGACACAGCGGCAGGACGACGAAGGTACTAAACCAATCAGTTTACATCCACTAGATGTATAAGCAACTATGAAATCTTACTAATTCCGGCGACAGCCACCAATCGTGAATATAAATGACATCCTTGGCCATACTAATCGCGCGACTGACATTCCACATGTAATCGCGTCCGTCGACCAGCCACTGTGCAAACACCCCGGTTCGTACCGGGGCAAATGCGTCGAACCTTTGCGGGTTTGCCCAGTCCGTGCTGTCTTTCATGAACTTGATACTCTCGGTAAATTGGTTAAGCTGCCTCTCATTCTTGGCCAACAGCTTGAGCGTTCTCTCAGAATTCTGAATAACCAACGAGTGGTGCTGGGGACGTGCTGGATTGCCATTCGCGATCGCCATGTCTTGTGGCTTTTTCCTCAGCGATTTCTTCGCGTTAACCATGAATTTCGAATCCACCAAGAACACATCGTAAATGTTCATCTCTTCGGGGGAGTCGACACAAACAATGTAACTATGCCTAACCAAAAACCACTTTGGCGAATGTCGCTTAGCCATTGCCGACGGATTCCATACTCTCCGATAATCACTCCCTTTCGAAGAGCGAATTATCAAATACCCCTCCTTCCCATGATAGCTCCCTTCAGCCGCGAGCCTAACGCCAAGGGCAGACAATTCCAGGAATTTACACAGTCGGTTTGAGTCGGGTCTGAAGATCATGATACGAATGAGCGAGCGCAAATAATCTTCCAATTGCTGCCTCTGCCTAATGGCAAATCCCTCCCTCCTAGGATTTGGCAGCGATCCAGGGGCACTGATGGGTGCAGTCAGTGTTCCCAGACCCGCAGCTATACCAGTCGCGATACCTTGCGGAGCATGTTCCCCGAGAAAGTTAGATGACATGCGTCTTGCTGCGCGCGGTCTCCTCTTTTTCCTTTGGACAGCAGCACCCCCGCTGCGTCCGGCATTTCCCTCAGCCCCGCTATTATCCGACTCGCTATCATCCTCGCTCCCGAGACCTCGGACACCCCTGAGATAAGGAATTGTCGACCGCGGAAACTTGGGGAGCTTATAGGCGTCCCTCCCCCCGAACGTTGTATTACTTATATCCGCAAGACGGTACCTCGAGTGTAAATTAACAAAGTCTCTAAACTCCCGGTGGATCACCCATTGCATCCTTGTTAGGCCCGATCCATATTCCAGTTCAATACGGAAGGCCGTGTGAGCCCTGCCAGCACCTTTTGACGTGGGATTTGATTCTGCAATCTTGACCTTGAGTTGTTCCAGAAGAATCGGTATACGCTTATTGCCATGCTCATCCCGCTGAAACATGCTAGCCAAGATCACGGCCGCCGGTGTTGCCGCCGTCAATTCTGCAACGAGCTCCGCAGACTTTTCACGGTCGACCCTCGATTCCTCCCTCTTCCGCGGTCCCATCATCTTGAGTCCGGCTTTTATGGCCCTCCACCCACTACCGTACACAGGCGTCGTTGGCGAGCTCTCGCCGCCATCATGGGACCGACGATGACTGAACTGGGCTATTCTACGGAAAGAAGCTCTCCGTGAAGAATATCCACGATCACTCTGTGCACCCGCTTCCTCCGGGATATTAGTGATTGTAGCTCTCCTGCGAGGCCCATGCGGTGCCCGTGGTGTTCCGGGGACTGTCCGTGACCCCTCGGGGGTAGATGACCGGACAGATCTCGCTCCCGCTGTGTGATCGGTGTCTTCGAGCTCTTCGTCCTGACCAGGAGCCCCACCAACAGCAGGAGAATATGGTACAGGTGAGAGAGGACCAGTAGGGGTAGCACCGTCACCCACACTCTCTATGGTCCATCCAGATTGTGATCTCCCGTGTATCCCATTTCCCGAACCAAAATTCCTCAGTCTGGAAAAGAAACCTGGCCTCTTGGCTGGCAACGGTGTTTCCGTTTCGTCCCCCGTGGAGTAATCGCCCGATGGTCTATTCGCTCTCGCAGGGGTAGCTATTCCATCATACTCGTAAGCGTTTTCAAGGGAACTTCCGGAATGGTTTCCCGCGCTAAAAAAGCCGCCCCTTCTGCGACGGCCACGCACAGAATTGGAAGGCCCAGCGATGCTCTCCCCGCCAGGCGAAAGCTCCCAAGCAGTCGTGGATTCAGTAGTAATAGAACTTGGTCTCCTCGGAGTCTTGTAACCTCCGACATCAGACTGAGCTCCTTCGTCATCGGAGCAATCCTTCCACCGTATGGAATGCCGGGATGAGGGACGCGACCGGTACCCCTGTTCCTCAATCGCAGCTGGAATCGGCGGCGGAGGCTCCATATCCACCAATTTCATCGGCGAGACGGGTACAGAATGGCTACGCAACATTGGCGAGGGTGATGGGTGGGGTATTGGATTCGGCTCTCTCTTTCCACCGCTAGAACCGGAAGTATTGAGGACTATGGGGGCGAGCAAAGGGCGAGGAGGCCGATCATTCTGTCGCTGCACCTGGTGCTGCTCGTCCCCGGATCCCAATGGTTTGGGTGCCATCGATCGTTTTGGGGCCTGCTTGCGGCGGCAGGGAGAAACGGAGACTCCCGGTTCGGACGAACGGACAAATAGGCCGAGAAGGGAAATGGATTACGGGCAGTATGCTGTGCAAGCAAACGCAAATCTCGATAAAGGGACCGGATTATCTGGAGAAGACGTGAGAAAGCTGGAGTAAATAACGAGGTTACCATCAACCGTCGAACAGAGAGCCAACAGCTACGCAATCAATAAGCTAAAAGGTGAGCGGACGATTACGAACCTCTACCGAGACCCTCCACAAGCTTGCCCCCCACAGCCTATCGAAGGAAAGGAGTGAGAACAAGAATTGTAACGAGCGACACGAAGTAAAAAGAGAAGGGGGAAAGAAAGAAAGAAAAAAATAGGAGCTGTACAGCAATGGGCAGGTGATGGATATGAGACGAAATATACCTGTGCCCAAAGCAAGGAGCAGAAACAACAAAGTGATAAGAGAAGTCAAATGCAACGAGCGGATAGGATAGAAAAGTGCAACAAAATAGCAAGAGATACGGCCAGGGAGTCGCTGCAATGAAATGGAAAGGGGAGAGAAGGAGGAAAACAAAAAACGAAAGAAAGCGCGGAGGAGAGGGTTCACTCAACCTCCACTGACCACCTGCTAGACTACCGTCTTCCAACTCGGACTCCGGGCAAAATATGGCAGGGGGCCAAGCAAGTGAAAATGGAGGAGGGTACGACAAACACACAAAAGGCACGAGAGCAGCCCAAGAAGAATGCGAGCCAAACCCGAGCACTCCCCTCCCCCCGAGCACCTATGCTCAAGGAGGGACTGACCACTCAAACCCCGTCCGTATACGGCACAGTGCCGGTGATCCAGCGAACGACCCACTCAGAATCCTGCGGTACGGAGATTGCCTTGTGGCGTAGCTGTGGCTAGAGCTGACAGCTTGGCTCTAATCGGCTCTAATCATTCCACGAATTTGTCCTCGTGCCGTACTCGAGTAACTAGCTCGTATTGTGCGCTGTGAGGTGCCGTGACAGCACTCGAGTAAACCAACCGTACGGCAGGGAGAAGAATGAGGGGAAAGGAGCGAGAAAAGAGCTCTGATACAACCCAACCCAAATTCAAATTCCTACCGTGTGATGGATCCTCTTCCACCTCCATCCCCACCCCGCTGACCCACAGTTAATATATGATCCCACGCTCCGAATACCACAGACCTCCCCCGACCTCCAAACATCGAGCGAGAGGCCAGCTAGCTATGATACCTGAATGCCCAAATCCCTGCTCTGCCCCTTGCGCTCCCCGGCTTGCACTCGCACAGCCTCTGACGTCGTGTTTACTGTCCAAATATGGACTAGCCCAGTCCGGGTCCCTTTCACACCACCGCTACGGCACCGTATCTCCCCCACCAAGGCGAGGTTCTCCATGAGGCTCTTGACGGGTGAGGACATTATCAAGGGAAAAAAATGATGATATGATACGACCAATGGCCCGAATTTGCCTTTTAGGTGTGATGGAAAGTGTGACCGCTAACCGTACCCGTGTGCACACCCGCGTCCGTAAAACTCCTCGCTCTCCTCGCGCCCAAGAACGATACCTGTCAACAGCAAGAACAGGAGAGCCCTCCAGATGTGTCTCCAGAGACATTGCAAGCACTTGTCACGATTCGCTCCTCACCGAACAACAGAAATAGAGGGCCAGCAGAGCGTCTCCAGTGCCTAGCAGCACCGGGAGGAAGGTAGGGGAACTTTACTTTGCGGCCACGGATGCACGATACAGCACGGTAGCACTCATGAGGAAGGCAAATTGAGTGTTATCGGCATGATAGGAACGCTCACTGGCAAATACCGGACCATTCCCACCCCTGAGAATGTATACGGTACCGCAGTACTCGTAGGGTATCAGGAGAAGAGATTCCAACTGCGCTCTGCCTATTACGTACCGCAGCGCGGTACTCACCATACCAATTGTATGATAGTCCAGCCGATATAGCTAGCAATCAACGGACTCAGCGATGCGGTCGGGAACCCCAGGTCAATGCCCACAGAGATTATAACTAGACTACAAAGCCCTCGACCAAGCTGTACGTTGTGTGCGCCAAATCCTCTCCCCTACCCCTTCCTGTACGAGTGAACCAGAAGAACAATACCACCGCCGCCCGAAACATGCATCTCATGATGCCAGACGAAACCTTCCGAGTCTTCACTTCCCTCCGTTACGACCCCCTCCTCTTAACCTGCCCCATCAACACCACCTACTCGCACGACCCATCCACCCCCTCCCCGTTCTACCTCCTCTCCCACCACCGCGACCGCATGCTCTCCGCCACGGAGCACTCCGGCTGGTCGCCATCCATCGCAGCTCCCCTCAGCGACCTCTCCCTCGTGCACGAAACTTGCCTCTCGGCAGTGCGCTCCAACAACCCCTCGAAGAAGACGGGCGTTCGAGTCCGCCTCCTTCTCTCCCCGAGTGGAGAGCTGACCGCCGAAGCAGCGTCCACCCCGCAGGTCACCGACATAACCCGCTTCTTCCCTTCCAGTCTACCAACGGAGGCACTTGCCGGGTGGGCCGTCGTGCTGGATACCCTCCCGACAGAGATTAGCAGCTTCACCCGTTTCAAGACCACCCAGCGGAAGATGTACAATGATGCCAGGGTTCGGGGCGGGATTGGCGCGTCTCCGGGGACGAGAGAGGTGCTCTTGTGGAATGCGGATGGGGAGGTCACGGAGGGGTCGGTGACGAATGTTTATTTTCAGCGCGGGGGGAGGTGGGTCACCCCGCCGCTGAGTAGCGGTGGACAAGCGGGCACTGTTAGGAGGTATTTGCTGGAGAAGGAGATGGTCGTGGAGGAGGTTGTGAAGCTGGAGGAGGTTGTGCTTGGGGAGACGGTCTTGTTGAGTAATGGGATTAGGGGGGTTTGGGGAGCTAAAGTTCTTGGATAGGGTGTCCATATGCGGGCCGCAGGCCATGGAGTGTGGGCCGGTTCAAGTGTGTTTTACCGTAGATGAAATCCCATAGTATCATACCATCGAATCGTATCACTTTGTAGCGTGACACTCGAGCACAGTACTGTACCGGTACTCAAGTACACACACCCTTCGGTAGAACACCGGTACATCTACCGTGTGAACCTTGAGCTGCAGATTACGGTACAGTACAGCCCAACCACTACGGCCTGGACCCCCGATCAACTCGAGTCCCTACGGTATTAATATCTATCAGGAGAGGGGGGGAAGACTCAAGCCCCACCAATAAGCCAGTCAATCCTTCCAGATAAAATTCCAAACAGTTAA